CTCCCACCTGCCCAGGATTGTTGAATCTACGCACCATGTGGGGGGGAGACGACTTCAAAGGCAACACATAACTGGCCAAATTCCAATACTTTCCAAATCATTAAAGATAAAGAATGGTATTTGATATATTTTGATATTTGATAATCATTATCAATCATTAAAAATCATTGAAACATAAAGATATATAAAGATGGTATCATTTACGGTGACCTGCTTGTGTCACTGCAATTCTTACGATCTAAATACCGGGCTTCACCTACGAATCTTCGATCATCATCCCAGGGCCAACAAAATTGTCATTGCAGCCCACGGTTATCCCCATCATATTGGTTAACCCCCCAATGATATAATCCCTTCTCCCTGACAGTAAGTACCTTCTAAAAAGACACTTGATGTGTAATTTTTGAGGCAGTCATGGGGGTATTTAATATTGCTCGGATGGAATTGGCCATGTGTTGCACTGAGACGTAGCCGCGCGGTCATCCGCATCATCCTGGGGTTGTCTTCGCCTAGCTTGGCCTTATGTCGTTGATGGGGCAGTCTGCCCTTTTTTCTGAGCGCACACCGCTTCTTGTTGCAGAGGTGCTTCAGGTTATGGATGAGGGCATTTTTTTGCACCGCGTTTGAGTGGGTGTCTGGCACGGGCATGGTGTCTGTTGCACCTTACCCTGAGCCAGAGTGGCAGCACATCAGTTCAGTGTTCAGTGTTCAGTGTTCAGTGTTCAGTGTGTGTGTGTGTGTGTCTGTGTCTCTGTGTCTCTGTGTGTGTATGTGTCTGTGGTTTGTGTGGCTTGAGATACGAATATGGATCGAGAATGATCGAGACCTGAAATTTTGAGCTGCCGCCTATTATTATGGTAGATATAATGCCTAATACGATTCACATATCTGTATAATATATCTTCCATATGCCGATCTTTTTAGGTCCCGGCGTTTTGCTCAGGGGCCCAAATGCTCACGTGCTTCTGGCACAGCATGCCTAGAGGCGGCGAGAATTTCTCGGAAATCGTGGAGGCTGGTGATTTCTGTGATCCAAATTGACCTTTACGGGCAACACTTATAGAATCTTATAGATGTATATAGATGTATATCGGACAATGTCCATATAACTCCATATATACACATCTTAAGAACATATCATATCATATGGATACATATGGTCTAATATCAATGGCCATATTTTCTGAGGATATTCCCTGAAATTTAGGCCTCAAAAATAGGCCAAAAATATATGGTAGGTACCTCCAATTTAGGATCCTGGAATGGCCATTGACAATATGGTGTTTCAGATTCTTTCAGCATTTCTGCACCACGTTGGGTGCGGTATCCAGGTAGCGCGTTTCCGGCCTTTGGAGGTCCACAACTGGGTGTAACTCGTGTGGTTCACCACCTCAATCCTTGGCACCGTGGAAGCTCACCAAACGGCGGCTCAGCCACTGGTGGCTTTTTTGAGTGGGCTGAAGCTTGGCAGAACTTTCCGTTTAATATGTGGTCAATATACTGTTAATAATGGTTAATATCAATTGTTATTATATGGTTAATGATGAATAATAATAATCTGGTTGGTGGTAGTTGACCTACCCCTCTGAAAAATAATGGAGTTTTAGTAACAGTTGGGATGATGATATATTCCCAACTGAATGGAAAGTCATTAAAGTCATGTTCCAGTCACCACCAACCAGTTCATCTTGTTTTTTTGGGATAAAAATTGAAATCCGGAACTAGTTGGGATGGGATGGCGATAAGTCTTGGGATCTCAGGGCTTACAGACGAAGAGATGCTTTGCAAGTAGATTATGGTTGTGGTTAAAATGGTTGTGGTTAAATCATATTTTTTGTTGCTTAAATCATTACTAAATAAGCTAAGTTATGTATGGTTGATGCTGGATATGGCTACTTGGACCCTCAAATCGTAGCCATGGCAATGGGTAAAAGTCGATTTTGGGATCTCATGTATATATATATATAATATTATATAATTATGTATTATTTACAATTAGATCATACTATTTCATATTATGTCAATAGTGACCCAACTTTCCGTAGGAGGGGGGGTCTCTTTCAATATTGACATCCCCTAGGGTCAGACCTTGACGTCTCCACAGCACTGGGCAAGGGCACACCATTCTTCGCAAGACGTCCAAGGGCAAACCCTGGCGAAGATAGGTCAAGATCGAAATGAGAGCTATGGAAAATGGTCCATTTATAGATTATGATAATGATTTACATATTCAAAATTTTGACTTTTCTATGGCAAACTGTTGGATTACCGGAGAATAATGGGTATACGGTATATGGTATACAGTATACCTGCTCTGGGCTATCATAATCCCGAATAAATTTGGTAGTATAATCCCTAGAAAAACAACTCAACATGGTATTTTACATGGCTCAATTCATCAAGATCTCAGTCAAATCCTGTGAAATAACGGATATATGACTATAGTTGAGGCTATCATGGAGATATTAAATTTCTGGTTGGTGGTTTTAACCATCTTGAAAAATATTAGTCAATGGGAAGGATTATCCCATATATGAAATGGACAATAAAAAATCTTCCAAACCACCAACCAGTTAAATTTGATATAGTGGGATAGAAGCAACTTGATATGATACTTGAGATTTCTTGAGATTTGGGTTTCTGAAAGGACTGGAAGAACGTATCCCGAAACTGGCATAGCAACAACATGAATGAAGGTATATGTTTATACTCTGTGGTAATCAATCATCGTTTGCTGCAAAATCACCCAGTTGTGCATCGGAGTCTATGGCGATTTGTACACACGAAACTATGGACATCCATCAGTTTCCCAATGATCTGCAGGTGGACATGAGTCTTAGGACCAAAATTCTTTGAGTTCGGTGGTGTAATTACCATCTGGCTATTTGTTACATAGCCATGGAAAGATCCACCCATTTTTAAGAACGGTAAACCATCTATTACGATTAGGGCCATGGCTATTTTCCATGGCGAACTGTTAGTCACAACCAGATGGTATCCAATGTTTGATAGTTATCCATGGTTGTCCCATTTCTGTTGGAGATTTTGGAGGTCCCCTTTTTGTGTCGCGAAAGCGATGTTGGAGCCGCGGATTCCGTCCAGAGAGTAACCGGACGCTTGGCGATGCTCCACTACGGACGCGGCTGAACTGAGGGGTCGCCTGCATTTCGTAAAGTAAGAGTGATATCTTAAGGTGATCTCTTGCTTTATGGTGAAACACTGGTAGGATATGGAGGATGATCAGAACATTTATAACCAATCATAACGCGGATATTTTCTGGTGACATTTTCTAGTGATGTTTGAAGATAACTCTAATCCTGGACCCACCCCTTACTTTTTCTTTGTGTACTAAATATTTCATAATATTTCCATATTTCCATAATATTTCCCTATCTCTAGCAAGAGATCGACGGAATTACCAAAAACTAGCCATCCAGGGTTGACCAAACATCCAGCGGAGTGGGAATGAGTCTGATATGAGTCATAGCCATAGGTTTTTCTGTACACATTCACCAGTTTTTTCTCCAAGAAATACAGCCATGGGTCCAGGCCTGGTGGTGAGTCCCACATCTTAAAATCCCCACGATGACTGATCATTACATGACATTTATGAAAAAGCATATTAAATCCCGTTAAATCCAGAGCAAAATCCTCCCAAAAATGATTCTGGATAAACATCATTCACCGAAATGTTAGACAAAACTGACAAAACCTAACGAAAGCAGGGCTCAGAACGACTTGTCCGTCTGCTGGGCAGTGGTTGGCACAGTGTCACCGGCAATCTTCTTCAATCGAACCATTCAAGATAGCCCGTTTTCACATGAAATTCGAGTAGGTTGATATGTTTTCCTGCTATGGTCGATTCTCTGATGCCACCACTAGGTTTCCGTTCCAGCTTCCTATCGAAAGCCGAAAGCCAGCCGCTTCCCCATGGAGAATCAACAAAAATCCAAGGACTTGTGGGATAGAACGCGGGGAAAGAACACGGTCATCACAAAAATACGGCGAAAATCTATATGGATCACTATTTGATGTGGCCCATATCATTAAAAAACCATCCGGTAAAAAGTAACCTAGTTATGGAAAACACCCAAGAAATGTCGATCATTTTTCTTGGGACCCCCAATCGGTTTTCCGTGCGGCTGACACTCTGTGCCATCTGTTAAAAGCGCCCATTAAGCGCACTGCCAAGTCGAGGTCTTGGCCGTGCCTATAAATTTGGCTGCTCCTGGATACAATAGAGATCCAACATCATGCCGATTTATGGTGATTTAATGGTGATTTAGCAGGGATATTTTCTGGGAACCTATATAAATGGATTATATGGGATTTGATCTTAACTTAAGTGTTCCCACATGGATCATTTTAGAGCGTGTCATCTGATCAACGTATATAGAAATGGCATAAATGCCAAGTATGCTCCGTTTATAAAGTGCAATAACACATCATAACACGCTAAAAAATGTGTGGATACCAGAAAATGATCCGTAAATATTTTGGCGTGTTAGTCGGTTGCAATGATCAACCAAACATGTTTGTTTTTGGTATTTTTGGGTATAACCAATCCGACCACTTCAGTGTTTCATGATTTTCATGATGATTTTTTGATGTGCCTCTGAAACTGGAGCAGCCAGTAGGCATCCCTGTTGCGGGCACGCAGCCCGCGCAGGGGCAATGCCTTGCCTCGCCGTGCCAAACGTGGCAACGACGATGGCCGCGGAAATCAGCGAAGCCAACGGTGTGGGCTTCGGAGTCTGCGCCTGAAAGGGCAGAAGTCGTCACTTAAACCATCACCTCAAACAGGTGGCACCCCACCAGCGAAATGTTTATGTTGGTTTAACTGAAAGCCCCATGAGAAAACTTCTTCGATATAAACATATAACATCATATAACATCATATAACATCATATAACATCATAATGAATCTAGCCTAAACCCCACCCGTTTTTTCCAACCAACTTAGCGTCACTTAGCGTAACGTAGCTGCGGACTCCGGCCTTCAAATGAAGGGGGAAACCTTCCTGACCACACCACGGCCCTGAGACCAGTGGTACCTGGGCAGGATGGCGACCGGTTTGTCAAAACCTCCGGTAACTCGACAAATCAAGAAGTACTCAGAATGATAAATCACTATTTAATAGCTAAATCATAGAAAAATCCTAGGTAACTAGATAGGTCATAGAAAAATCCTAGCTAGAAAATTCCTGTCCTATTCGTTTAGAAGCCTTATTGTGACTCAGTTGTGACTTGATACTCATTTTTCGTAGCTCAAAGGAAGCTGGTCATTCGAATCTGGGAATCCAAGCGGCATGGCATTCCGCACGGTTCGGTGGTGCCCCCGGCCATGATAGCGTTCAGTTGGTGCGTTTATAACTCCAATAAGTATGGTTTATGTGATATATCGAACCAGTTTTCATGGATTATAAACCAACAAACATAACTTGGGGGGCACCACCTTGCAGGGTTCATTTCATGGCTAGTCTTGGGCAGACCATTTTTTGGTCTCAATTTTGGTAAAGTTCTACTGAAACATCTATCGATTCAATCAACATTTTGGTTTACATCCCGCCTCTAAACATAGCACCACCCCATAAAAAGCCTAGTTGAAAGCCCTTCAGAATCACAAAACATATTTCTTGGCCAAATCACCACTTAGAATTTTTATTGGCTGAATCCCCACTTATATCTCATTTATATTGGTTGGCGGTAAAACAACCCCTCTGAAAAATATGATTTCGTCAGTTGGGATGATGACTTTCCAAATATGATGGGAAAGTCATAATCCAGTCACGTTCCAAACCAATCAGTATATCTCCATCATATTCCCATTGTTGTTGGTTTATACCCTATGAAAACCACTATTAATTAACCATCACTATTTTCCAGTCACCACCAACCAGTATATCTCCGTATCTTGTTGCAAAACTTGGTGAAACACCACCCCTCTGTCTTCGCGCCGAGACTTCCGGGCGCACATGGTGGTATAGCCCAAATGGAAGGGGAGCCAGGCAAACTGAAGGACCTTTCCTGTCCCAAGCGAGAACCCAAGCTGTTTTTTGAAAAAAAAATCTTTTGCTTCTACCATCTTCTACCCATCTGATTCATCTAACAATCTAAGGTATTCATATGTATCCAGGATTTAAGTTAGGTCAAACATGGATCAAATTTTGATCGGGTGATGAGAAACCAACATTTCAGGGTTAGATGTTGAGTTAAATGAGTTTACATCTGTGGGATGTACATGGTTCAAACTGGGGACGCACATAATCTCAAATTCCCAATGCTACAAAAACAAACCTAATTGCATCACATCACTTTTTTTTTTGCCTGCAACAAAAGATGCAACATGACCCTCAAAAATGGTTTGCTAATGTCATTAGGTTTACCACATTACTCCCAAAATCCAACATTCCAACAAACATTTAGAACAACAACCATTGTTTTGGTTCAATTTCCCACATATCCAGCCTCAACATTTTCACCATCCCATCCATGGCTGGTGCCGCTGGCGCCTAGGATCTTGTGCGTGTCCATGGCTTGCTTGGCCAAGCGGTCGTTTCGTCGATCGTCCTGATGTGTTGGGACATGGATGTACATGGATCATCTATACCTAGTATAGAATGTCCAAGGTGGTGCCCCCGAAGTTATAAGTTTGTTTATGATCCCATTAACTGTAGATATATCACCAACAAAAACCATAGTTATTGGGGTTATTTGCACCAACTTAGCTATCTAGGGGGCACCACCTTGTAGGGAACTTGTATCCTGTATACATCTGTATACATCTGAATATGGGGAGCTTGATTTGGCAAAATATGGTTCAACCAGTCTTCCAAAATGCTGATCAGTTTTGCTGTGGCCATTTCCTCCATCCACCAAGGTTTGCCCAGCATTTGTGACTGTGCCACTAGTGTGGTCAAAATATGAAGAAACCGATCACCATACTTCAAAAGGATACTGTTTTACAGGATAGTTGGTTTTTCCCATGATTTCCACAAGTTTCCAATTCTTTGGCATCGTCGGACACATGTCCAGCCCATTTCGGGCGCCCCTTTCTGGGCCTCTGGGTTACTGGTCTTGTCAGAGCCGGGCGCCCACTTCAGGAAGTACTCGTTGGCCATTCCTGACCTTGTGCGACAGAGGGCAACATCCTCTTATCTTCAGAAAAACAAAAAAACGGCGGAAAACCAAACACTGTGACAAACAAATTTCTTGTCACATTGATTTATATTGATTTACCTTCCAAAACCTCGTTTTCTCAATGTCGAAAACATAGTATTAATGGTTAAAACAATCCCTATGGATCCACACAATGTGGGAGAAGGTGCAGCTAACCCCCTAATCATCATACCCCAGCCCCACTTCCTAAGAAGGTACGGCTGGATCCATAGGGATATACATATATATATATATACATCTACATGTTACAATAATAATACATATATATATATACAGTATATTATATATAGATAGCACTTTCCCATTTATGGTTATGAATACTAAATCCATGAAATCAATAAACAACCCCATGTTTGATGGTGAAAAAACCACCCGACTAGTCATGCTACCGACCTGTCCAGGTCCGGGCCCCGTTATTTGGCGCCCTGGCAGCGGCAGCAAGGCACCGAAGAGGTAAAACAAACGAAGGCTCTGCGTCTCGATCTCGGTTCAATCAGTGATGGCTGCCATGGTCGAAATCTGGTGATTTAGCCATGAAACATGGGGATAAATATACATAGAAATATGGGACATGTCGTTTTTGGGAATATAATTATAAGTATTTTTTTGGAACCAACATGAGAATTGGATTATATCTAATGAGATATATTCTAAATTTGATCAATAAATTCCCATGATAGTTTCCATAGTAAATATGATATTATAACCATTTATCAACTACATTCAACTACCTACCCTCTGGTAATTTGTGACATCGCTATGGAAAAATAGACACTTATAGATGATTTACCTATTAGAAAAATGCAATTTTCGATAGATATGTTAAATTACCAGAGGGTAGCGATTAAACAAGTGTTAGAACTATGGGATGTTTGGTCATGGGTGTACGATGGGTTGTTTCGAACCAACATGAAAAGTTGATGATATACAATGGTATGTTTAGAATACGGTAATAGGAGTATAATGTATTTTTCGGAACCAACATGAAAAGTGGATGATCTATGATGTGATGAGATATAGTTCTATTGGCATGATATATCCCCGGTCGTGCAAATTTGCTATAAACCCACCATAAAAGGGATCCAAAAGGAATATGTATATGATATCTTGAAAGGGAATTAATTGACCTCACCATGTTGTGGGAATACAATGGTGACATTCTGTGGGACATCTAATGGTATTTCTATGTATTTCTCATAATCAAATAATAATAATAAGAAGGCACATGTGGGCACAATACCAAAACCCATAGAATCATAGAATAAATGGTGCAGTATCATAGAAGTCCCCTATGTTGCTATGTTGATGTAAAGGCAATCAACCAAATGGGTTACCATAGTAAGGTATCATCGTTCTAAGTGACTCAAACAATTGCCCTATAGATTCCCCTAAAATGTTCGGAGACCTCCAGATTGCCACCCACCGATAGAAAAGTTGTTGATCCTGCAAGGTGGGGCCAACTGAGGGGCCCACATGGGCCCACCTTGTACTAGAATAATTGTCATAATTATGTAAACACATCTTTTTGGGGCTTACATCACCGAATTTCTGGGCCTTGTATTTTCAATGGTGATCCCCAACTTTTTTTTGCCTCAAATTCACCCACCCTTTCCCTGGAAATTAACACAACTTTCCACCGCCGGGACACCATCTGCACAATGGGGTGCCCCGGAAACCGCGGTGGAATGCCACTGCGCAACCGCAAGAAGATGCGAACGATGAGAGCCACCAGCATGGCAATGCCTGGAGTGGCGGAAATTTTGGGCAGAAACAATGAAAGTGTCACCAGTTTTCTATATTTTCCTCCGATTTCGTATGTAATTAATTATTTCACCAGTGTTCTTTATATTATACGTTCCAATGTAACTTCGGAAGTGACTAGTTTCGACATGATTTTCAAAACCGGGTGCAGGGCACAAACCGCTGCCAACCATAATCCCCATAGGAATTCCCTAGATTTACCCTGTCAGGGGTTGTAGGAACCCGTTCGCCTATGTTTTGACATCTGTGGATGCATGGTCCTCTCCAATAAGTGCCGGCAGTCGAGGTGCTGCATTCTGATTCTGTCGAAGCAAAGCAGGGCAATTGAGACAACAAGCAATGCCCCCTACCTGCTTTCGCGCCAACATCGCACGCCGTTCAAGATCCAGAACACGAGCTGGGACGTGAACCTCGCATGCGTCCAACTGCTCCAACTCGAGATGCGCTAGTCTCGCTGAGGGTTGTGAGTATGTCGTCGGTGCTCTTGGAGACGCAGCAAGAGACAGTGCTCGAAGACGGAAAAAAACAAGTTGAACAGGCTTCAACTATGACGTTCAAAGAATTCAAACTTAGCCTGGTTGAAAAAAGACAAAACAGACAGCAGCATGCGACCCCACCGCAAAAGCCTCAATAATTGTGTATGGGTTTCACGGGCTGGAACCGTTACTAACCCCAACAATGTTCCATAACTGTCCTTTAATGTTAATTCTTTAAGTTTGAAGCCCACAAATGACGATGCACATTTGGATACATTTGGTTGTTTCTCTAAATTGCCTTTGGGTAAATATCGGTCATTTATATACCTCTTAAGAAAACAAACCAGAAGATCCAGCCTTGGAGGACACAAACGAGGGGTCGGCCCGGTAACCCCCAGTAGGTATATGGTAAAATAATGAAAAATAGGGGTTTAAAAAATATGGGGGTACCCCTTAAATTGGTATAATGAAAATAATGGGTATTTTTTAAGTCCCAAAACAGAATGGGTACATAAAACCATATGAAACCATATGAAGGTTTCCTGAAATGGTGGTAACCCAATAGCTGGCTGGTTTATTTCATGAAAAACCCGAAAATAACATGGATATAAATGGATGACGATATGGGGTAACCCCATGGCTTGGAAACCTCCACATATAGAATAGAACGACATACCAGTACTATTTGTTTGTAGATAGTAGATATACCAGTAGTGTTTGTTCTATACCCTACAGCTTACATGCTTCAGTGAGTCCTGCCCTGTGGGATGCCAACTTCAAACCAACTTGGAGATCCCAAAAGTTGGCTTGAAGGACCTATCTCAAAAATGGGGTTGTTTATTATTGTTTTAACCACATTGTCTCAAAAACTAACTCCAAATCAACTTGATAGGATTTGCCTCTCAACAACAACACCTCCAACGTTGGAGAAAGCCTATTCAATTTCCATCAAGGATTCGTGGATGACCATCCCCGATGTGAAAAGAACTCGATCTGACTTTTTTTTGTGAACTTTTGCACCCGATTCCGTTAAACCGTTACCCATTCAGCTATGGATACATCAATAACTAAATGTATATATATATATATATATACGTATACCCTAAGGTAAACTAAGATAGATGTGGAAAATCACCATTCTAATAGGCAATTCATCTATAAATCGGCCATGGTTTCCACATCTATGTTAATTTACCCTAGGGTATGTATATATATAAATGATAGTAATATATATATATAATAGTAATATATATAGATACAATAGTAATATATTTACATATATATCTGTAAAATAATAATAATAATAAAAATAAAATAATAATAATAAAAATAATAATAATAATATATATATATATGTGAGCCCTTTTGCACCCACTTAAAAGAAAAGGGGAGATTCCATATATATATATGGCTTGTAAACTGATGGTTACTTAGTACGGCATGAAACGACCATCTACCTCGAACCCGCCATGCCTGTCTGCTTGTGCCACCACAGCAGCTGCTTCTTCGCCTGCCAACTTCCATGGAATCCAACGATTTTTGCAACACCACAAGAATTGATATTATCACTATAATGGCATAATCATTGAATAATAAAGGATATCTAGGGATTATCACTAGTTGATACTTATCACTAGTAACATGATATCCCGTTAACTATCCGTTAATTTCAATTATCACTATTAATGATAATGTCCATTTTTCCACCACCTCCTCCCCAGAAATCTCGGCGAGTTCTGAGCCACCCCGCCTGTCCCTCCGTGTACTGAGCCACCTGCGCCGTGCCCACCGCGCCAAAGACACCCACGGCCATCAGCAGATGCAAATGTCGCAGGGCGCGAGAGTACCTTGGACAAATGCTGCGGAAATCCAGGGGAGAAATGGGGAAATCGGAACTCACAGGAACTCACTGGAAAAAATAGTTGGATTTGATGAGTTCTGCTGGGAAAACATGAGAAACAAAATTATGTGTTTTTATTGTAGAGGTTTTTCACTAGGCTTTGACTGGATTTGAAATTGGCTATGGGATAGAGCACCAAACAAGGACGGTGAAACGTGGGTGACTCAATCGGTGGTCCCACCAGGCAACATGGGTATGACCAATGACGTATGGTAAACTCCCAGGTGTTTTGAAACTCCCACTGTTTGTCCTCTGGTAGCAGAACCCCTTATTCAGTTCCACCATTTTCCCAGGTACACACCTGGATTTCCCAGCTAGCCATGTCATTCCCGATTCATCACCCCATCTATGGTTGATTTTCCCATCATTTTCCAAGCAAAAACCTCCGTTTACATAAGAGATTTCCCATCGATACCCATTTTAAAGGGCAAAATTCCGTTGAACATAAGTTTCCCGAAAAAACCCTCCATTTTGCCCATTGGCGTGGCTCCTTATCGACCGGGGGACGTGAACTGCGAGAGAGGCTTGGTGTTGTTCACCGTCCTGAATGCCACATGGATCACCGGCCCGCCCTGGTGGGGAGATGAGAAGGGATAGGCTACTTTAACATATATACTTTAACGGTCTTTGTGGATAATACTTTAAATGATCTCTAATTGGGGATTCTTGGATGATGAATCTCAATTTTCCAGACTGCGACTAGAATAAATGGGCTTATAAGAAGGAGATCTGACGATTTTTCTACAGTTGGTTTCGTAGCCTAGCCTTTGTACACAGCTGGTTTCTCCCGCTGGATGTTCATTCAAAACCATGGCCATTTGGCTGTGTACAAAAATATGTGTTGAATATTCTGTACACAGAACATGAGCTGAATATTCTGGATATGTTGGATATCCAGGAACATCAACCGCTCAAAACCGTTGCCATTTTCACAAAAACAGGCCGCTTCTTCAACCGACCATCAACCACTGAGAATAATTTGGGCATTGCTAAAAAAATGAATGTGTTCATTGCAGCATATTGATAGTAGCAAAGTAATTAGAAGAAACATATCCATGATATTTTCAGAATTTTACTTAGAGTTTAACTTACGTTAGTTTTTTCCAATATGTTATGATTGCTATGAAAATATAGTGTTATGTTTACATATGTTCATCTGGTTGGTGGTTTCAACCCCTCTGGAAAATATTAGTCAGTTGGGATCATTATTCCCAATATATGGAAAGTCATAATCCAGTCATGTTCCAAACCACCAACCAGATATGTATATTCCCATGGTATTCCTATGATATTCCCATTAATCCCAATGATATTCCCATTCTATCCCATTTAGTCACCATTAAAATCACCATTGAAATCACCAATACATTCCATTAAACCACCATTTTCCCATATTTTCCCATATGTTTCCATATGTTCATGATATTTTCACATGTTCCCCCATAACTTTCAGTTTTTTCAACTCTTCATCCAACTTTGGGGTGCCAAAAACGACGAATGCGCCATGGCTCTTGTAGAGATACCATGCCACGGCCAGGATGGCGACATCGGTGACCTGCGGTGCGATTCAAGCGACAACTTCATGGGGGGTTACCCTCCTGCAATTCAACATGGCAATGGAAAATCCTGTATAACTGGGCATTTAAATGGGCAACACATCAATGTGGACTTTTCTTCAGCACTAATCACCACAGATCAGCTTTAGGGGGGTATTCATTACACGGAACATTCAATGTGGGCCGGATCCCGGGCACAGATCAAACGAGGATTTTATCCGGGGTCGAAGTGCGAACGGAGTATTGAAACCATCTTTGAAACTAGCCATTCAAAAACATAATTTTTTACTACTTGGATCTGCATCAAATGGTTGATAACCAACGATAACCATGCTTCCCCACGGTCTGTTTCCTCAGTTTTCAGGTTTCGGCGGTGTCGGGATGCACATCGGAGAATCCATGGCGCCATGGTTCTCATCTATGGGATCAACATCGCCTCGGGGACCAATCCATTGGAGCTACTGGGGCCCCTTACATAGAGCCCTTGAGTTTCAACGAATCCCGGCTTGACATTGTCAGTAAAGCAATGGCTGGGACCATCCCCAATTTTACCATTTTTATGGCTGGGATTTCATTAAGATGTGGGTGGTTTATATTGGTTTATGGCATAGATTTGCACAAACCACCAGGAGAGGGCCGGCCTTGTACCTGAAATATCGCCCCAGCTCTGAGCTTGTACTTTCGCCTCAGATCGGGATGTTCTTTCAGCAATGAGCACTGAAATTATCCAGCTGCAAAGTGGTCAAAAAACGAAGCAACAGAGATGAGGACGTACTTTTTCCGTACGAAATCTTGAATTTAAGGTCATAAATGTAATCAAGCATATATACATAGAACATCATAGAACATGACTCAACCAACAGCAAACCAATTTCAATGCTACAACATCCAGAACTTGGAAGTGCACTGGGGTTGAGTGAAATCCAACAGTACATTGGTGATGTAACCTGGAAAATATAGTCAAAACAAGGCGATATCCAACGGAAGAACGGGAAAGAAAAGGAGGATATCTGATGCTACTTGGGGCCATACTCTTGGTAACAAACCTGAAAGTGGAACATCTGCATGGTGTAGATCTTTCTTCCAGTTCAGAACCTTCAACAGTGAACCTCCAGCAGAATTGAATCCAGGAATGTGGGCCGCGAAGTCCCAATTTTCACATGTTACTGGTGCCTCAAACCACTTGGTACATACCCATTTCTATCACAGATTTTAGTGTTGAACCCCCCTTCCTCTCCTGCTGATTTCTTCATTTCCATTAGAAAATAGCCATATCTTGGTACTGTAAATCCACATCAAGAGGACAACCCCCAATACATTTCCCATTACATCCCTATAAGATGGTTGGTTTTACACCTCCATATCACGTGTATCGATTCCTTAAACCCATATTTTTCATTGGTACATACTATGTGGTGTCCTACCCAGTTATGTTTGCTGATTTTTAAACCCTATATGAACTACAAATATCCCTGCGATGAACCGAATCCTTGCCCAAACTATTTCTACCAACTTAGCTATCGTAAACCAACTAGAAATCCCCAATATTTCCATATTTTGTTGGTTAAAACCCACTAAAATACTGGTACCATCCACATAAATCACACTTCTTCTTGCTTACCCCCTGGTATATTAACATAACTATAGAAAATCACCATTTTGAATAGGTAAATCAACAATACATGGGGTATTTTCAATGGCAAACTGTTAAATTACCACAGGGTAGATCCAGCATTTTCCGATTGTTTGCCCTTGCCCACCTTGGAACCGACTGCGCCCAGTGACCTACGACCTGCGCCACTTTGGTTTCAGCTGCCCAGTCGGTGGTCCTCAGGTCTGGTCTGAAAACGTCTGCGCAACACCCAAAATGTTGTTTTAAAAAAACACCATTGAAACAGTGGTGAATTATATATGTTTCTATCTTTTTGATTCCCTTTTGGGGATTACTATACATGGCTGAACATTTAAATCAGAACGTGAAACTGGCATGTATCTGTAAAAAAATCATGCTATAGGTAATACATTATATATATCTCTTATGTTTACGGAAAATCTACCACACAGATATGTTTCTCCAGACTTAAATGTGATTAAAAAAAGTTGCTGGTTCTACAATTTAGGATAAAAAAAATCATCTGGGAATTCATGAATGGATTAAGCTAAAGGATCTTTAAGTAAACATCTTCAGGAAACCATGGCTTACGTAAGCCCCAATATCTTCCAGGTATGGCTCTGGGATGTTGAACGAGTGCAGGTTTGCAAGTGGTAGGCGTGGAACTGCGAACTGCAGGCCAAACTCACGCACTAAGGCCATGTTGTTTGCAGCCATTGACAAACTCACTCCAGCTTCTGCCATCATGGACAATTCGATCTCGCTGAGGCGCAAACCTCGCATCGACTCGACTTGTCTGGAAAGGCGAGCAGCTTGCTCTACAGCTGAGACCAATATTCCTTGCAGTGTCGGGTGCCCATTGAGTGTGCCTGAAGCCACATGGGCAGCTAACTTCAAGTTGACATCTGAAACACTGGACAGCTGGTTGGATCTGAGCTTTTCAGCCAGCGTCTGGGCATTGGTGGCCAGGTCTGGGTTCCATTTTGTCACTTGCACATCCATACATGCAGGTTTCCTGTATGTAACCTATCTCTTCAACCCTGGGAGTAAATGGTGGATTTTATTGGATTTTCCATATTTTGTTTGATTTCATTAGACAAAGCTTAGATTTTCCGTGCAAGAATGGTGATTAAATCCACAGACGTGAGCATGGTGAACCAGTAATTGGGCTTTTGACTTTGGGGACTATAAAAGCTGAACCGTTGTCCCCAGTAAAGTGATGATATGAAAACCAACATATTCATGACATAGTCCAGCAACAAACATGGGGGTAGCATGTGTAATTACATTTATATATATACAATGTATAGTCAGGATTAATAAAACCCACGAATTAATCATACCCGTTCTCTCCGGAAATTTTGGGACAATACTAAAGTCAATTAGGTGCTGATTTCCCCCCCTAATAACACTAAAATCCACCCTAATTAATCATACCCCTCCGGGACCCCCAAATTTTTGGTGGGACTAATTAGCTATTACTCCCTTTTACTTTGTAATTCGGGCTACAATTTCCGGGGTTAATTAGTGATCCTGTCTTAATTATCTTATCCTATTTGGGTTTGTCTCATGCTGGCGCATGTTTCTCATGCCTCCCACATCCTGCTGATGCAGCCATTCTTTTTTGCTGCACGGCTCATGTCTGCTGTCTCATGGTCTTTGTGCCCATGAGCAGCTGATGGATTCTCATTTTCTGATGCGCCAGGCTCTGCGTCATCCTCGGAAGTCATCTGATTATAGTAGAGCTCATAGAATGCCTGATGGTTCTGCTGGAGCTTATGCATGAACAATGCAAGAGCGGCGATGCCAAGCATGCAGCTCATATTGCTGACCAACAAGATGATCTCCAAGATCGACATTGCTGTATGGATATGTACGATCACTGATGAATGCTCTGGTGGCTGCAAGTGCATGGAATCCCGCTGCGGCCTTCATGGATCTAAATTCCAACGTGCTTTCTACCAATCTACGTGATCATGGCTGCATAAATATAGTTAATTATAATTATCATAAAATAAAGACCTCCCAGGGATGTGTTTGGTCCATAATTATATTTAATTTGAAAAGGCCAAAACTGGAAAAAAAATCATTCCCCAAACGATCGGTTTCTACTGAAAATCTTATTGAAAAATGCTGCTTTTGGGAGCTCAGAAAGGCTAACCCCCTTGAGCGCTCCCCCCCCCACAAATAAAAATACACCACCCAGCCACGAAGAGTTTTTTTCACCTTTCTGCTTTCATGGTATTATATAATATGTTTTCTTATCTTTTCTCATAGGAATCTGATGGTTTACCACTAATTTTCCAATCTTTCCATAGGAATTTGATGCTTTACCATAGGTGTTCTTATCTTTTCCCATAGGAATCTTATAATAATCGTCTATGGATGAATGAATGGGCACATTATTTCGGGGGTTCGGTTTTTGGACCCCCTGACTGGACCTTGTTGACCTAGTTGACCTATAGGGGGGGTGGTTATTAATCCGGTGTCAACATTATATGCCATAATTCAATATGTTTAACAAGTTGGCAGTAGATCATGAACTCACTTTGGGATGGTTCCGCTAAAAAACAACTGGAACAAAATCCGGCCAGTCAAAACTTAAGGACAGCATCTGAAGCCAGTGATCCGTGAGAATTTCACCAAGCCAATTGTATCAACTGTGACACGTTGTAAGTGACCAGAACAATTCATGTTTTTTCACAACGAACCACTGGCATATAGACTTTAACAAGGAGGTACCCTCAATTTCATAAGACCCAATTGGGGACAGTTTATTTTTGGGTTTACCCCGTGGTTTACCGTATGGAATAGATACCGAACAAGAAATGACTTGCGAAAGAACGATCCTTTCATAAAACCTCAAACAAACCCTTGCAAATCCCCATTCAAATCAACAAACGCCATGAAATTTCTTTTTGCAGCCTTAAACCCACCATTTTTTCATCCCCAAAACAACGTCCAAGTGACTCCCCAGCCATCAGCTGGCCGATCAACAGGTCGCGGTCACGTTGCACACGGGCCTTCTCCTTGGGATTTGGTGTTGGTGATGGGACTTTTCAGAAGGTAAAACCTCTGTTTCCGAAACGAAAAACCACGGGAAAATGGTGATTTAATACTGTTTAACCAAGAAATCTATGGGGATTTCATGGGATTTGAGCTGATTTCCAAGTTGAGGCAAATCACTTGGGTCATGATTGGGTTTATGTCAAGTTTCACTATAGGGGAATTGAATGGGATATCTAGGGGACCATCATGAAACATCGGGGGTGAAGCATCAATGGATTTCACCATGGGGATATACCGATATACCTGTTGAAAATGGCTATTCATAGTTGATTTACCCATTAAACATGGTGATTTTCCAGTTCGCAAACTGTAAACGTTTACCAGAAGGTAACAAACATTTTCACACAGAAAAATGCTGATCTTTCTAATGGGATTTCTTTTTTGGGGAATCCAATGGAGATTATCTGGTTGGTGGTATACCTACCCCTCTGAAAAATATGAGTTCGTCAATTGGAGTCATTATTCCTAATATATGGAAAAATAAAAAATGCTCCAAACCACCATTTCTGACACCATTTCTCGGTCACGCTGCCAAAGGCTCTCGTTGACAGCCTGCATTCAGGTGCCACAAACCTAATAGGATGAGACCAAAACCCTATCAAAGCGAGAATCGGCATCGGCACAAGGAAGAGAGTTCAATGCCTTCGACGTCCTGGTAACACCATAGGGACAAAATGAAAACACCCACTCATCAATGGCCGCAATCCTGGCCGGCGGCCATGCAACAGCTAAGCACCCGGTATGAAGTTGGAAGCACTGAGACTCAGGTCTGCAATAGGCATAATGAAACCCAACTCCATGATGGCGGAGGCTCACAGTCAAAACCTTGCTAAACCACCGTGTTCGCGTTTGAAAAGGGATATTCAAAAGGTCAATTTCCGGCCTGGACACACCAAGCTGCCACTGATGAATCTTGAGCGGCCCACACTCTCCACTCAACATAAAATCAATGTAAAGCTGAAATTTGGAAACCCAGATCACAGGATGAGCACTGCCATGGAGAGTCTGCCAATACCATGACAAAACCAATCTCACCATCTTATCCCCATACCACCGCACCGCAGCTTGTGGAACATGGAAAGGTGGCAATGGTGCCACCGCTGAGCCAGGAATAGGAGGCGAAACACACAACTCAGCACGTTCAACATCTTCAGAATGGTCTTGATCCCTGACCACAGCCGAACTAATGGCAAGCAAAACCTTTTGCACTGTTCGTGACAGTTCTTGACAAGCGCATGTGGCATTAACATGTTCAGCGTAAAAGTGCAAAAAATTCTGAGGTCTTTGATGTTGAGCTGCAACGGCCGCACGATCAGCCAAATGATTGTGATGGGCCGCCCATTCTTCAAGGGGACCTGTAACCTGATTACTGCTTTGATGAGCGGCTACCTTGGTCACCCGCACCTCACCAGCACAGTCCTGAAGGCACTCTTCAATGGCAATCCACAGGTCAGCATGCGCGCAGTTAGGTCTAGTAGAACCCCCTTTGAGCAGGCGGCGCAGTCTCACAACCACCGCATTACAGTCTGTCCAAAGGAAAACCCTAGCTTTGTGACTTCGGCACATCATCAGGGCTCGCAGCACTGCGTAAACCTCAGCTCTGTACGCACTTTGAAGAATTCCTGGCAACGGGCCATAGTCAAGCACCTCTCCAGCACAGACATCTGTTCTCGCACCTACCACGGCCCAAGACGCCATTCTGCAATCACGTGCATGCTGGTTCAAACAACTGCCATCAGTGAAGAGGTGAATGTCATCACCCACCCCCTGCAGCAAAACCGGAGGGGTTTCAGGGATAGCCTGCAACATCTGTAACCATCGGTGCATTGTGTGCGGCTGCACACTCCAACCATAGCATGTGAGAAATTCAGGTGCTGTGGCAATCAGTTTCAAAACATCCTCAGGGACACTGCTGCGCTCACTAGCAAATCTTTCACACACCCAAAAACGATGGAACCTGCTATCAGTGCACAAACAGTAGGGGCATTGGTCACTCCCCCCTTCCTGGCAATGCTGTTTGCAATCCTGAGTGATATGGCAACCGCTCAGGCATTTCTTAAAAAGCTCTTGTGAATCATAGGGCAAGGTTTTCAGCCATGTGCGCGTGTCGCGAGCATCTGCTTGGCACAGATTGGCAAACCCCGGTCGATGAGACACCTGTTGCGCAACAACACGCTGCCACGCCCATTGGATACGACACTTGAGTTCAGAAAGGCATACCTCAAATAGGCAGAAGGGGCCAAAGCTGTCACATATCTGCCCAGTTGGCAGAACGTGCCATCCCAAGGTTTGGAGCCGAGTCAACAACGTTGTGGTAAAACTGTTGGCAGGCGGCGCCTCAGTTCCAGTCACCAGCAGGGCTAAAGATCTACGGACGTGGTCGTTTTCACCGCAGTCTCTCACACACCTGAAAGTTTGAAGTATTGCCCAACACTGAGGGTCAACAAAGGGCGATTCGATCATTCCAAGTTGTATCCATGCATTCGACCCAGCTTGATCACATCCCAACCCTCGTACTGCCCCAGTCCTCAGTTTGTGGAAGGAGGCATCAGCAAGTTGGACTGCAGCTATGGCATGCAGGGCTTTCGGCCAGGCCGCTGTGGTCAGCGCTCGTACTTTTGTACGAATTGAGCAGGCAGACAGCTTAAGCCGTGGCCACACCGCCTGCATGCTATCTACACGCTCTTGCATGGCAAAGTTGGTATGCTTCTTGGCCAGTTGGACATGAGCACCTAGATTCTTGGCCCCAAGCAGAACCTTAAACCCTTGTTGCCGCAGCAGCTTGCGGCCATCCTGGTCAATGGTCCACACATAGGCTTTCCTTTCATCCAGATGCAGATCCATGGCATCTGCAAAACGGTGCATGGTGTTGACCGCCCCTTGCAAAAGAGTAGGGTTACAGGTTATCAGCTGCCAGTCATCAACAAAGGAGACGGGAGTGCACAAGGGAAAGAAAACTTGCATCCACTTGTGAAAACAGGCATCAATCACTACCATCGCAACACAACTCAAGCCACATCCCTCAGGGACCCCAGTAGTGCTGCCAAGGCCTGCACTTAGTGAGTCCCTCAGCTGAAATCGACGCTGCATCTGTGTTAAGGCACCAGTCCATGCGAGCAAAACCCTAGAGGGCAAGCCAAAGTGGGCAGCAACTTCCATCACAACAAGCCTTGGAAGGAAATTAAAAGCTTTGGCAAGATCAGCCACTGCACCAGCAACAGGAATTTGCAACCCAAACGCCTCTTCAATAGTCCACAAAAGTCGCGACCAGATCTGTGTGGCATGTCGACCTGGCCTACTCCCATAGAGCGTATCCGGCAGCTTCTCTTCTAAATGAGAAAGAGCAATTTTGGATTGCACAGAACTCCAACACCTATACAGCAAACTGAATACAGTGATGGGACGAAAATCCGAAGGGCCAGATGGCCTGGGGACCTTAGCAAGCCTGACCACCTTTCCGTCCACTAGTTGCTGCGGCCAGGTTCCTGTAGCTTCAGCAGTTGAGAAAATGTGGCGAAAGGCTGTCAAAGCTTGATGTGGCATACAGCGTAGATCTTGTAAAGAAACTCCATCAAAACCCATTGACGTGCTTGCCTTTTTGTGACGAATTACCTCCGCCAAGCTGTCACCATTCAAAGGAGACCAATCAAAACGTCCAGGAGGCAAGTGTGTTTTGGCAAAACGCACAATCTCATTCCAGCGAGAAGAGGGGACCTCAGCGTGCCTCATCCATCTTTCTCTCCACACCTGCAAGAACATGGTTTCAAGCTCTTGAGAAGTGCCAACCGGCTTGGTTTGAGACACTTGCATACCAACAGAAGCATGCGACGTGTCAGTCACCCACAGGGCATCACCTTCATGGTGAATTACATCCAATGCACGATCACCGCAAACTATCACCTGATCAGGAGCAAACTCACAGGGCTGATTCAAAACCAGTTTGCATTCATCAGCGTCAACCTCTTCAACTTCCGCACAAATTGGTTGCAAAAGAATTTCAACGCCAGGTGTGACCGGTGGTTTGATGTCTTGAAAAACCAGATTGGGATTTTGCTCTCTTCGAAATTTTGCATACTGCCTGGACTGTTTCATGAGGCAACTTTCAAAGGCTCTAAGGGCTAAAACCATGCTATCAAACATTGCCAACGCTGTCTGACCTCCGGGTGGAGCACAAGGACATTGTGCGGGGGCTCCATGAACCCTTTGCTCACATTGCAGCCACCAGTCAGAAAAGGTAGGAAAAAACCCCTTGGCACGCAGGATAGCACCCCAAGATTCAGCAGTTTGGATTGCAACATCAGAGGAACTATTCATCAACCGACAATAGGCCTGAAGGCGTCGAACTTGGCGCAACCAGTGAGCATGACGCGTAGATTGCCCGCAAAACCCAGGCTGGAAATCACCTTTACGACCTACCTTGAGCGGAGAGACATGAGCAGGTTTCAACAGCTTGGGCTCCAAATGCTTGGCTCTTCCACACATCTTGCGAGAGATCGGAAAAGGGGATCCCTTAATGGCCTGAGATTCAATTTCATTCCAAAGTTGTTGATAAGCCTCAGTGGGGGATACCACATCATTCCACTGAAAGTCCGCATCAAAAGTTTTAGGCCAAGGGAAGGCATGCGGCCTTGGCCAAACCCAGCAACTGGGGCGACATCTTGGGGACTTAAACTGTCCAAGAAGGGCCGCATGATCAGGCAGGACATCATCAAGCACCCATCCATCAATCAAAAGCTCTTGCATTTCAGGGCTCAAATAGAGGAAGTCCTTCCTAGTGGCATGTTTGCACGTAGGCATGATCGTGTGACCCCACCTCTCCAAAAGCACATCTTGAATCTCCCTGAAGCCAGCACGCAGCAAAATGTCAAACGACGGCAACGCATTTTGGACCACATTCCAGTCACCTGCCAGAAAGCGCAATCCAGCTGTCAGATGACATATTTGTGCCGCAGCATGGTGCAAGAGGAACTCATTATTGCGCAGGTGGTTCGGATAAAGGTGTCCATCAGGTTCACCATAGATCGTCGCACCAGAGATCCAGCTGTCATGGACCAAAGTGGTAGTAAGCAAGCATCGCCCTGATTCTTTGAGGCATTCCGGTTGAGCAGAAGGCAAAATCCTAGTTGGAAAACAAGAGATGGCAGCCACCCCTTTCCATGCAGTTTGTGACTGAAGGCAAGGCCGTGTTGAAGCTTCATCGGTGACACAATATCTGTACCGGCCACCAGCGGCTCTCAAACCAGCACGAAATCTTGACACATCTTTGCCGAAAAAATGAGTTTCAGAAATCATCCAAATGTCCCCTTTGGACAATTGCGAAGCAAAGTAATGAGATTTATTCCGCAGACCCGAAGGATTGCAAGTACCCAAGGTGAAAAAATCTTCAAATTGAACATTCGGTCCAGGGTTTGAAGCTTCCCCAATACGCATCAAGCTCAGCATCAGCAACAGAAATCTCCATGATCGAGAGTTGAACCCTTGTCGACACTTCCATTGGCAAACGAACAAACCACCGATGGGGAACAGGGCAGGCCACCAGACAACAGACATGGCAAGGCAGACAAAGGCAATCAGTAAGACCAAGCCAAACAAAATCAGCTGACCGAGCATGAACCCCTCCCCATACCATCATTCCATGGTTTCCTCTCTTGGCCTTTTTGACAATAGGCCCCTGATCTGATTCATCTGCTGTTCGAACATCGCTTGTATGCTTTGCGACTGCGACTCCAGCTGTCCATGGAACTGGGTGGACTGCTGTTGGATTTGCGTTTGGACCACGGCAAATTGTTGGTTGCTCTGAGCAGAGAACTCATGAAACTGCGATTCCAAGTTCTGGTTCTTTCCCATCAAGAGGTGGACTTGTTCCTCAAGAGAATGCAACCTCTGCGGCATATCGTCCTGGTCCATAGAAACCGGCAGCTTAGCAAGCACGGCCGTCTGGATACGCTCCTCCAGCTGCTGAATGCCGTCAGAGGCAGCCGTGACTGGATGCGTCTGTTTGGTTTTGTTGTATGGTCCCCAGGGGTCGCCTTGAAGCCAGGGATCAGTTTCCTGCACAGGTGGGACACTGGCCGGACCGCACAATGACAGCGTACTCACAGAGCCCACAGTAAAATTGCCCACAGGTTTGGAAGGTTGATTACCAGCTTTGTGTGTGGTGATCACCACTTCACCATGATTGGTGCACAGGATCGTTTCTGGGGGGTTGTCCACCGATTGAATCAACCACATGGATCCTTTGCCAGGCACTGGCTGCATAGGCTGGAGAGCTTGGACCTGCCATCCTACCTGCTTCAGGGCCTTAGTGATCGCAGCACGGTCAGATCCCCATGGAAATGGGCCAGCACTGAATTGCATCTTGGGACCATTGGGAAGGTAGGTCGCCTCAGGTCTGACAATGGCATGAATGGCCGGCGCTTGCGCTTGCATGACACGGAGGCCGCGTCTTTCACCAAGACGAGCAAGACCGAGCACCGCTGGGTTGGTTTGCTTCATGTGGGCAAGCTCGCTCGAAGAGAGCCTAGGAGCCCAAACCACAACATATTCTTCCATCACCTGTTTCCCATCAGGAGTGCGGGGTTCCATGTAGGAGCCAGCATGGCCACTTCGAGCAAGCAGATTTGACAGAATGGCTGTCGGGACACGCAAGCATACCGAGAAGATTGCCGCTTTGCCTGGTGCAACAGGGCGAAAGTTCAATGACAGAAACTGCCGGCGCCAAACATCCATGATGGGTTCTTTTACCTGCAAGTCATCAGGATTGTGCCAACACTCACAGTTGCAGCCAGATTCAAAACACCTTCGCAAAATCGGAAATGCCTGGACGAGCTGTTTGATCGGTGCTGAAGTGAAATCGTCCCAGGAGCCTGCATACTCATCGCGGTAGGTCATGATCTTGACCGTGACCACATCAAGTGAATCAAGGGCAATTGCATTGGCAGCTATGTGTTTCTCAACATGACCAACCCCCAATTGGACCAAAGTCGCTTCGACAAGCAAAGGCTCGTTGTTGGCCAGGCAAATACAGGGGACCATCAGTTTAACATGTGGCAGAACCGTTTGAACCTGACAGGTTGGATCAGTAAGCACCACAATCGCCAGCGGTGCACTTGAGACTGGCTTACCAACTTTGAGGTACGGGATCGCATCCTTCATTGATAAAACCGCAATGCCAGTGGCAACAGGGCCAATCTGTTGAGCAGCAATTTGAGGGACGGGATTGCCCGCAAACCGGAAAGCACCATCAAGCAGTGATATTTTGGCTGGGTCCAGGACATCAGGTACTGGGATCTTTGCGTTGATCTTGGCACTCCGAATCTTCTTGCCAACATTGGCACCCTTATTGGCTTGTACAAGCTGGTCAAGTTCATCAGGCAAAATAAATTGAAACTTGACATTACTTCCAATAGCCTTAAGCGATCTCCAGACGTTCTTGGCTTGGAGAGCATGTTGGACAGGCTCCTGGCCTATGGCACGAATGGCTTGCTGGGCTCTCGACTCAAGCTGGGATTCAGGGACACCATGTTTGGATAGCTCTTCGGACAAGGCTTTGATCAGGGTCGCAGGAGGGCCCGAACCCCACGCAATTGGACAACGACAGCATTGGTCTTGCAAGACAGCCTGGACAAAACTAGCTCGCATGTTGGCATGCATGTCTTGGATGGCCTTCAAATCATCAGGAAGAGGGCCTCCCACAAGAATGTGCCCAAGAAACGCAATTGTCGCAGCCCCACAGTAGGAGTGCTCAGAGACTCTTTGTGGGAGCCAATGCAGGACATGATCTGTGAATCCAAGTGCACTGCAAAGAATATGGACCAGAGGTTCAAAATCACAGGCATGGGTGAGGCCATCATGCATCAGGTGAAACTGGAGTAAATGTCTGTGGGGAACAATCCATACCGGAACCCAATGATCACGAACAAGCAAAGCGGAAATGATATGAAAACCACTGGCAATTTCATGGGCATGGGCTCGACACCACGATTCACACAAAGCAGGGCCAATTGAGTGCCAGTTGTGTAACATGAGGGGCTCAAGCAGAACCATTCCAGGGATGTTACAATGCCGCAAATGGACAGCATGATCATTGTGGGCCAGAAGGTTGGAGAGGTGATATCTGATCTCATCATCACCCCATTCTTTCTCATGACCCCTGAGCAGGTCAAGACGTTGTTCAGCTGTGATGCAAGTGTGAGAACGATTTGCAGGACCTTGACTTTGTTGATCCTCCTCATCAGCAGCATCTCCATGTCCAAGCATCGTCCAAACATGACTTCGGTTGTGCTGCCTCAAGTGGACAGCAAACTGTGTCTTCAATTGGTCATTCAATCTGGTCAATTCACCTGTGTTAATGGGCAAGGGAGTGTCCAACAGGCAAAAATGCATGAACGCCATGGTCAATGCACCACACATGTCTGGAGAGCGATAGGCCCTCTTACGGCAGGTCAACACACATTGGGACACAGCAAGTTGGTGTGCAATCATGTCACCAAACTCCCGAAGCTGGGTCACAACGGATATTCCAAAGTTCCAGGTATCAATGCAAAGATGAGCATGACTTCTTCGGATCACCAAGGGTATCCAATGACCATGAAACAAAACCACTGTAATCAAGCCACCCTGAGAATGCTTATCCAGGACAACTATCTGATTGCAGATGGTGACAGCGGCCTGGGGCATGTGCTGGGCAGCAAAGGGGACCAAATAGGTCCAAGGACCCACATGAGATTTGCAGCAGAGTCCGTCATTGGCAGCATCGACAACACGCATGAGGTGAAACCCTAGTTCTGCATCTGTCCAAACCTTTTGTGAATCAGCAAAATCACCCAAGTCAAGAACTTGGGCAGGATACCCCTGGACTTGATCACCTGTGTACGTGCAAAGTTCAGGCTCCAAACCAGCTTCCAAAAAGGACATCTGAGGTAAAACCTCCAACATTGGTCTGGCATCACGGGCAATTGTTTGGCTCAAAACACCCTCCATGAGATTACCAAAAGAGTTGACAGCACCAGGATGCGATTCCATCAGTTCATACTCTTGCATGTTCACAAATGTCTCAATAGGAAAGAGACCCTTCAATTGCGGTCCGGCACCCCAAGCAACAGGGCAACGACAACACTGGTTCTGGAAAACAGCCTGTACAAAACTTGCCCGCATGTTCGCTTGCATGTTCCTCAGTGTGAACAAATCCTCAGGCAGGTCAGCCCGAACCAGCACGTGACCAAGAAATGCAATGGCTGCAGCACCACATATGCGGTGATTGGGCACCAGCTGCGGAGTCCAGTGGAGGACATATTCCGGCAATCCAAATTGAGAACACAGAGCATCAAGCAAGTGGCCGAAGTCATCGACCCTGGTGATTTCATCATGTTGAAGATGCACAAGAAAATAACGGTCATAGGGAACAATCCACATAGGTACCCAATGTTGATGGACCAAAAGGGCAGTCACAATGTGGTGGCCAGTTTCAATGATGTGTGGGTTTGTCTTACACCACTGAATGAATTTCTCCTTGCCTGTCGGGTTCCAGTCACTCAGAGAGAGAGGATCAAGAAAAACAAAACCAGGAACATCATTGTCATCTTTGTTTAGAATGCACTCACCGTGATCCAGCAGGAGCTTGATATGGAAACGTATCTCATCATCACCCCATTCCATACCATGGTCACGCAACAGTTCCAATCGACGATCTGCATCAATACATACATGCGCCCTTTGCAGCCCTTCCTGAGAAACGTCATCACATGCACCCAGAGCATCAGTTAGGAGGTCACCAGCCCCCCAAACCCATGGTCGTACCGTTGTTTGATGTTTTGCCAGAGCATCAGCAAAGGACGTCTTGAGTCTCAAATGGATCGTTTCAGTTTCATCACTGGTCGTAGGCAACATTGTTTGAAGTAAAGAATACGACAAAAAAGCCATCGCCAGTGCACCACAACGATCGGATGACAGAAACAATCGGTGGTGACGATCAACCGCCACATCATCATATCCCATGGCTTTGGCCAACAAGGCACACATCTTGTTCAGTTTGTCATGATCATGACCAGGGCAATCCCACGTGTAAACATGTAAAATCAAGCCCTGAGAACACATGACCACTGGAATCCAATGTCCTTGGACCATACATGCAGTGATGACCATCTGACCTTGTTCCCTGATTTGTTTGTGGGCCAAACCCCAAGCGGCACATTCATGGAGTCCATGATGTAGCCATCCTGTGGCAAGCAATGGGTCCAGGACAAAGCACGGTTTCGGGCAGGCAATCCCATGAGAGAGTTGAAACTGAATGTAGGAATGAGCAAGAGAATGCATGTGAAACCGCAATTCATCATCACTCCAAATCCTTGATTGGTGTTCCAAAATGGTCAGTCGATCATCAGCATTCATGATCTGACAGTGTAGAGATTCCAAATGTTGCATGTTCACAACAGCAGGGACCCTCAGTTGCAAAAATTGATCTTCTTTCAGGCCCAAAAGAGGGGCAGCTGAAATCCATGAGGTGTTTCTGGCACTGTCACCTAATGAAGGCATAGGTTGGCTTGGCGCTTCAGGACAAGGTCCCGTCTCAGCATCTGGCATTCCCTGGATCAGCTGGGTCCAAGGAGCAGTCGGCGATATCAGGTCACTAATCACACCGCCACCCGCTGCATGAAGCAGGGCATCACCACAGTGCTGGTCGGATGTGCTAGTCAGGGACTCGGATGCAACAACAGGCAATGTCTGGGCAATGGCACGGATGTTTGGAAGAGCAGGGGGCTCATCCTTCATGTCATCACTGGCCGGATTTACATGGGGCTCCTGACAAACGGTGGTGATCAGTGGTTCACCTGAGACACGATCACCTGATGAACTACCTGTTGATGCCGGCATGTCCTCACACCGAATGCAAATAACCATCCCAGGTTCCAGTCTTTGTGAAGGGTGAACCTCAACACCATGGAAATTGGAAATGCATGTGACTTGGAGAGTACCAACCAACTTTTCATGAGCCTGGACAAAATCATAAATCGTACATCCCGGAGCTGCCAATAGGGTGATGGGGTCAGCAAATTCATGAAAAAAGACCACAATGCAGGCATCACTTCTCGGTTTGGGCAAGCGAGGCATGTCATGTGGGGACTCAATCCATGGCGTGGAGTCATCCACCTCTTCATCTACTTCATCTGGAATCGCCAAGACACCAGGAGCCAAGTGTCGACCAGGCAAGCAATTCTGGCTACGTCTGATCAGCAGGTCCAAAACAGAAGCAATGGTCACATGAGCATCTTCCAACTGCGGCCAGCGGGGTGGATGCATTAATTCATGAATTGAGAGATCAGCCACCTCAGTCCAGAAATTCATGAGAGAAAGCATTTTGGAGTCCTCAACAGGTTCAGTGTCACAAGGCCAAACCCTACGGCATCGCATCAAAACCCATGACTGATAGGCCTGCAACTGGGCAAGAGAGCCAAAGATCACATTTCCAAATCTCAGTTGGGCAATCCTTTCGGCAAGGCATGAGAAAACCCACAAGGCTTGAAAAGGGCTGGCCATCTGTCCTGCGGCTGACAACGTAAGACGGGGGTTGTCCCCAAAATCGATTGTGGGGTCAAATCCCTGCAAAGCCAAGCATTCATTTGGGTGAATATGGCGGCATTCCTGTGAGAAAGCATCAGAAACTGATCGTACCAGAAGTCCAAAAAGTCCCTTTTCTTCAAGTCTCTTCATTGACAATCCACATGGTCTACACCCGCATTCACATGGGACCAGCTGCGACCCCCACGAGTGCAACGCACAAGGTGCACATCCATCCATATTCAAGAGATACTTGGCACATGTGTTGTCATCAACCCCAAAAGCATGCCGTTCGATAGCATTGAGAACCAATTTGGCCTCATCTTCAGGGGCCCATGCAAGAACTCTTGGAATGACTTGACACACTTTTTGAACCGTCAGCAATTTCGGCCAATCAGGCAATGGGATGGTCCCCAACCAAGGTGCAGTAATGAGCCACCAGGCTCGTGAACGCCTGGAGGGCCAAATGTCACTCAAATGAAGCTCAGACTGCGAGAGATGGAATCCAGTGGCATCTACAAACTTTTGGATCTCTGACATGACCCATGAGTTCTTGGAAGCAGGTACAACGCATTCAAGTACAATGGCTTGTGCACGTGTGTAAAAGGCAATGGCTAAAACACCCCGCAAACTCATGGCCCTACCATCATGCTCACCCCGTCTGTCTCCCAAGGAGGAGAAAGGTTGGCATGCATAGCCTGCAACAATGGTCGAGGCTCCTCTGGACAAGTGCCAAATTTTGGCGATAGAATCCACCTTGCTGACATCTGCATTCAATGTGGTGACCTCACACTGCTTTCTGTAGAGATTTGTCATCTTCTCATTGAAGTCAACTGCCAACACAGGTGAAAAACCCAATGCCGAATAACCCTGAGACATTCCTCCAAACCCTGAGCACAGTTCAACGACTTCGCAAACCGTTGTCCATGTCGGTTGGCAATGCTGCAAAATCTTGGTATCAGAATCAATCATCAAGGCCGGTTTAGGGTATTGTCGCACCATGGATGCACCAAGAAAGGTAAACACCTCCCCACTTCCTTCAATCAACCCAGAAACATTGAACATCACATTGTCAGGTATGGACTGAAAAAGATAAGCTTCATGGTCAGGATCAAGACAACGCAGGAAGGAAACCACATTGATTTTGGCCCCAATGTCAGTGTTTGCAAACCTCATAGGGAAATCCCACTCCATTGCATCAAGTGATCAAACGTGCCCCCGTTTGGAACGAACAACCGCACTAGCTGGAAAGTGGCTTGGGCAGTCGCAGCTGCTCCAAACCACCAACCAGTAATTATATATAAATATATACACAACAGTATAAAACCACCATTTTGCAGCCCAGGCCCTGGGTCGCCATATGGATTTATGCATCTTCTCTGGGTTTTAACTCCAGGTACTCATAGAACAATTGGAATTAAATAGCTTGGGTTTTCATTCCTCCCATGTCGCTCGAATGATTCCAAATATAATGCTCAGGTACCATGCGGAAAAGAATGGTCACACTGAAAGTTGAATTCTTTCTTGCTATCCCTGGCCACATAAGTCTGCTAACCTTGTCTTCGTGGCAATTGAGCCAAACCCTTTGGTCTTCTGTGTTCGAGCAAGGTATGCTCCACTGCACGAGATCCACCACGATTGGAAGAAACTCCAGGTTCCGCAAATGAGTCTGCCCGGTGTCATTATCCTTCTTGCGGGCCTCCACCCTCACATTCTCTTTTACCTGTTGAAAAATACCTTGCTGCAGGTATTCGTGACTGTTGAAGTACTTCTTGGCTGATTGTAGCACGAAACAGTCGATCTAGCCGTCACTCAAACATATGCAGCGAGAAAATCCTGCAGTTATGACATAGCGACGATTGCGACGACACAGCCCAAAACGCACTACATCATCTTCACTCTTCGAAACCAGAAAGAAAGCGGTGTGAAATAGGCTTGGCATTCGTTTCCGCTCGTCCAACGGGCCCCAGAAATGGCTCCCTTTTTTCGTCGCTGATCACCTCACTACATCGGAACCTGCTTCATGGACACCCCCAAAAGAAGTAAATGAAGAGTTTTATTTCATGTTCTTTCTACCCGATGCTGAAATCTCTGCAGAAATTAAAACCTTTAGCCAAGAGGTAGTGTTGATTGTCGTGGCTTGATGTGCCTAAACAATTTGCTGATCACTTGACTACGTTGGAACTTGCTTGCAGCACACCGTGGTGCAATGTTTTGTGGATAGTTGGCCAATATATGATATATCCCATTACTCTATTTGAGTGCATTAATGGTACATATCCCGTACAAGCAGAACTTCAGAACGGTGCTTTGGTGGATGCTATCACCGCTATTTTCTGATGCAATGGGACATCTTTTTAGTCCGGATTTACCTTGCAGATTTTTCAAAGATGGCTTCGTGGCAAGTCACCCATCTGTAGATGTTTTTCCATTAAGGTCATCAGTGATAAAATGGAAAAAGAACAATGCTGATCTTTTGAATGGGATTTCTAATGAGGAATCCAACGGAAATATCATGGGATCCAATCATATACTAGATAATTATACATGCACATATTAAACATTATCTGGTTGGTGGTATACCTACCCCTCTGAAAAATGATGGATTTCGTCAGTTGGGATGATTCCATTCCCAACTGTTTCTGGAAAGTCATGTCATCCAGTCATGGCAACCAGTCACCACCAAGCAGAAAAGCATTGAAAAAATCATGGGTTTCCAATTGCCAGCCACGTGGATTTTCATTACCAGAAGGTAGCCAGCTTCATGATTTCTTTGAATATCGATGCCGTTTAGGATTTACATACTTCATCAAAACATATCAAAACAGGGATTTGAGGTTTTTGAAGCCAACCATGATACGATGATATTTTTAGGAAATACATTATGGGATGTACGACCAACAAATAATATTGGGAAATAGACTAACCATACTGGTATGGTGATGTCAGCTTCCAGCAACGACGACTTAACTCACAAAAACATAGATATTTATGGGAAATTCATGGCGAAAAGGGCTTTAAAAAGTTGCAAACAATTAACTGTGGAGTTTAATCAGTACTCCAAAAGGGTTCTTTTCTCCAATCAACTCTGGAATTTTCATATTCTCCAAAGTTTCAGCAGATTTCAAAACACTGGAGCTACGTCCTACTCATAGCTTTGAAAAACCAGCATTTCTGGTAATGAAATCCAGAGGATAAACAAAATTCCCTGCAATACCATCCACCTGAAAAATCCTTTATGTACCCGAAACGCCATGAAAAACCCTATGATTCCTGGAAAACTATAGTTTAAAACAAAGTGTAATATACCGAACCCTATATTGAATAGAAAATTCAAGATGTACCATATACCATTTACATAGCATTGTACAATATATATATATATATAGTTCCCATCATATTGGACCATAGGACCATATATATATATACAGATAATCACAATACATCTTATGTACAGTACAGTACCTCAATGGGGATTTGTACCGTTGTACCATTCACCAGGTCTCAGAGTGTTCAAAGACCTCGAAGTCCTGCGGCCAGGCGCTTTTTAAAACGGCCATGGCCGAGGATTCAATTTCAAAACATGGGATATATATATATATATATGTTTTGAAACTACCATGTACATCCATAAATCCATAAAACATTAGTTTTTATTGGATTTTATGTATTTTAATGGATTTAGATGGAAGTTGTAAAGGATTTGTTCATGGAATTATAGGGATTTCAGTGAGATTTGACAAGGGGATTGGTATCGATTAATGGTTTTCCTGGATGTTAATGGGTTGATTTGATTTTGTTGGGAACATCTACAAAAAACCTACATTTTTTTCCACCAACTACACGGCTGTTCAAAAAACGTCCTGCTGGGATATGGGAAATGGATGGAAATGGGTATGTGTTGGGGACATGAAATGATGGGCACTGGAGTGATTCAAATCAGTTTCCAATAAATCTTTCTGGGAAAACATAGGAAAATCTACAGGGACATGTGGCTTTCACCCACCCGAACGTCTGGTGGTTTCCTGCCAATGTTGGAAGCAAAATCGTTGCTAAATCTTCTGTACCCCTCAGTTTTAAATGGTTGTTTGGGTTTGTCTGAAAGTGGAGTACCCCTAAAAATCCATTGACTAATGATCAATGCCCGTATCAAATGACCAAAACAGGGGATATATTCCATCTTCAGACCCACATATTATATCATAAATATATGGCTGTAGTAAACTACTCTGATGGACTCCATCCATTAATCCACCAACCATTCTCCAGAGGGAATTGCTTCGAGATGCCCCACTTGATGTCCCCCTATGATCGATCGATCGTTTCTCCTTCGGGGCAACTCACAGATCAAGTACCGAAATAAACTAAACTCAAACTCACCAAAGAAGTCCGGAGACCCGAAAATGAAGAGCAAAACCATACCAACTAATATTGAAACAAATGAGAGGATCCAACAACATCAGATTGCCCCTCCCAATTCGGCAAAAAAACATTACCTCAGGGGGTTGTCTGAAAATAGGGTACGTCCAATTCCACTGCATCATGATTTTCTCGACTAGAATTGACATATCTGGGGCTATACCCCAATACTTATATACTCATGGAATACCGATATATATATATAAATATACAAATTGTATAACCAGCCCATTCCATATCTCCGCGGTTTTAAATCACCATGTTTAGATACATTATCATTCTGTTCCTTTCCAACATTGCCAATGGGTGGTATACCATGGTATACCCCAGCCATGGCTGGTCCTTAGTGCAATCCGTGCCCGCTTTCGACAACAAGATGTCGTCACCACCGGGATGACTTGACAAAAGGGGCTTCCTCGGGGCGTGGCGCCGTGGCGCCACAACGATGCCAGTTCTGGTTTCATCAGTTCCGATAACTCACTATGCTTGGAGTTGGTGTTTTACCATACTGGATACCATTTTACTCATAGATATGCAATTTCAATCAATTTCATAAGTTGGAGTTTGATACTTGGTAAAATAGATCAGACATGATCGAACTCATCAACTCCAGCGCATTCCTATCTCTCAGAGCTTGGTGAAATATATCAAAGTAACCAAAGTAATCACAATGATGATGACATTAATCACAGTATTCCCTGTCACGTGATGTTTGTTGGTTTATGACCTCCATGAACTAGTTCGATATGTCTGCCATATCTACCGTATCTGCCATGAAACAACAGTCATAAAGCAACTTAGCTATCGTTTGAGTGCCCCCCGCCGTGTAGGAACGCCAATAAAGATGCTGCAGATGTTTGTTTATGCTTGTTTTCTATCTATTCGTGACTTATAAAGGTTTGCTTCCGTACAAGCCTGCAAACCTTGGGAACTGGCACATGTCAGCAAATCTTGACATTGGCATGCAATATGCTCCAAGTACGGGCAATATACCCGGTATACCAATCGACAGTGGCCACATTTCCGAATCAGCTGAGCTTCAAATTGTAGACCCGGTTGTGGATGATCATGTAAGGCTCCTGCAGGTCGACCACCAATTGTCGACAAAGTTCTACACCCCAATGGCAAAAAAAAAGTGATTTTTAACCCTCCTTAAGTACCTAGAATTACTTTACTTCGTGTGATCCCCACCATGACATTTATACATTTTCTTACTGGCAAATCTTCTGGCATTCTATCTGACATATCTTCTGACATTCTATCTGGCATATCTTCTGGCATATGATCTGGCATATCTTCTGGCATTCTATCTGGCAAATCTTCTGCCATTCTATCTGGCATATCTTCTGGCACTCTATCTGACATATCTTCTGGCATTCAATCTGGCATTCTATCTGGCATATCTATCTGGCATATCTTCTGGCATATTTTCTGGCATTCTATCTGGCAAATCTTCTGGCATTCTATCTGGCATTCTATCTGGCATATCTTCTGGCATATTATCGGGCATTCTATCTGGCATATCTTCTGGCATATATTCTGACATATCTTCTGGCATTCTATCTGGCATTCTATTTGGCATTCTATCTGGCATATCTTCTGGCATATCTTCTGACATTCTTTCTGACATTCTTTCTAACTTTCTTCTGCGCATTCTTTGTCCCATATCTTCCTACATGATGTCCGGCAGGGAACACTTGGCGTGGATACTGGCGGTTGAGGTCCGGCAGGGAACACTGGGCGCGGATGGTCGCGGTTGAGGTCCGGCAGGGGAACACTGGGCGCGGATGGTTGTGGTTGAGGTCCGGCAGGGAACACTGGGCGTGGATGGTCGTGGTTGAGGTCCGGCAGGGAACACTGGGCGTGGATGGTCGTGGTTGAGGTCCGGCAGCGAACACTGTGGATCGCGGGTCGCAGTTGAGCAAGGACGACGAGGACGACGAGGAGGACGAGGAGGAGGAGGAGAGGAGGAGGAGGAGCAGGAGGAGGAGCAGGAGGAGGAGCAGGAGGAGGCAACTGACATAAAATCTAACAACCCTCACCTGGCAGGTGGGGAAAAAGTGTGGTTTCATAGGGTTTAACATACCTATATATTATGATTTGGGATACCTATTTGTATGTGTACTTGGAGGGTCTAAGTATGGTTCAAGAGTTAGTTCTCCTCGCATCCCAGTTGCCAGTTGGACAAATCCCATCCTGGTAGCTTTCTTTGTTGGGGTATGTTGGGGTGTCAAATTTGAAACCCTCAGGTTTTCCTAGAATCTGTGTGTACAAAATATAGTTGCATGGTAGTGTGAATTCACAACTGCTGGGACCGTTTTGTCTCAGTTGTAGATGGTCATGTTATGGCGGTCAAAACGCTTTTAGAAAAACCCTGCTGAAGACTAACATAACAAGCATGGATCTCCATCTACGATATTGTAGGTTTTGACCCATACCGATGCATCAAGTTGGCGATGTAAATCAATAGTCCCGTGTGTATAGAACTATAGCTAAATAGGCTATGCATATGTGTCTATAGATAGCATATACCAACTATACATTGTAGTAAGCTCCAAAGAAATAGAACACATACCGTAATCTATCACTATTTTAAATTGCAGTAGATCAAATCAATGGTGATAAACTGGATTGACCAGACTATTTATCACTATATTATCACTATTTGTTAGAGCATTATACAAAAATATCCTAGTTAAATCACTATGAACATCTATCAAATTCTATCAGTTTTTCAATCTAAGTATGATATATTTATATATATATAGTAAATATATGATAATATCAATAAAGTTATATTATAGTTATAATATCAATATATATATATTTATTTAAAAAGCTATAGTAAAAAATATATTACTATTTAACTGGACCAATAAGTCATTTCTCCGTCTCTCCCTGTCGCGGACCATGGCGCCTCTGGCCCGGTGTGCTTTGCCACCTCTGCGCGTGTAAAGAACGGCAGCTCCTGTCGAAGTCGGCCAGCGCAAAAAATGGACGGGTTTCCTGGGATCACTTGACAAAAAACATGGTTTTTAACCATTTTAACCCAACAATATTGATTCTATGAAACGATGTTAAGTATTTTTTAAATATCTTCGAAGAATAAGTGATTTCGAGCATGACACCCTTCGAGGTTTTACCAGGAATGGTGATTTTGTCAATCGCCTCTGGTAGAACATCCATATATAGCTATGGAAAATGGCCCAATCGAAAAATAGGGATAGTTCTCCCAGCTATTAATGTAGGTGGATCTTTCCAGTTCGCAAACTGTAAACGTTTACCAGAGGATATATTCCCATTAAATCCCATTAAACCACCATTTTGTCCACTAAACCATCATTACTTCGCCGACAGAAACTGTAACTCACATTGGTCTTGATCGGGATACGTATCGGGATACGTATCCCGATCAGTGAAAATTTTTCAGGGTAACTCAAAATGGACAAAACGGGGGGAATATAGGAACCATTTGAGGATACATATCCCATGTTTATGGTAGGTTAATGATGGTTAATATACTGTGAATTTGATGGTTAATATTAATGGTTATTATATGGTTAATGATGGTTAATAATAATCTGGTTGGTGGTTGACCTACCCCTCTGAAAAATATGAAAATCAATTGGGATGATGCCATTCCCAACTGAATGGAAAGTCATAATCCAGCCATGTTCCAAACCACCAACCAGTCATGGTCCCATTGACAGATCCCATTTTCAGACACACCTATGGTTTGCACACTTACTTATCTATGGATGAACTGCACCATGGCCGGTTTTGAATATCACTTGCCACCTCAAACCTGGGATAGGGCCTAGGGAGGCCTTGTAGAAACGGATGTGCATGTGTCTATTTTCAGATGAGTGTATGATATGTGCATATTTATATAATTATATATATAGTGTGTGTGTGCGCATATATTACATGTATGAATGTATATTTGTATAATGATTAGATATGTGATCCCGAAATAAATAAATAAATGTATCTATATTATATTAATGTATATATGATATATGACTACAAATGGGATGCTTTGTTAGAAGATGCTTGGAGTTGCTGTTTATCTCACTCGACAGTTCTTCCCCATCATAATGATCAATAGTCAATAGTATCAACAGTATTAGTGATTAACACTGAGCTACTGTGACGGTCGATATCTGTTGTCATTGCTATACTTCCGCTGTCGATCAGCTGGCAGAACATGGCTCTAGCTCACAACAGGGGGGTTGTGCTCATTGGAACCGTACCGGTCAACTGTCTCAAGTCACAGGTGAATTTGGTTTTAAGACTCATCAAGTCTCACTTTCTCGGATTTCTCGGATCAGGTTGCACAAAAGTCATCGTCGCAAATCCAACGTCTTGCTGGTTGGTGGTTTCAACCCCTCTGAAAAATATTAGTCAGTTGGGATGACTATTCCCAATGTATGGGAATAAAAAATGTTCCAAACCACCAACCAGCTTGGATGTAGAGAAATCAGAAAAGCCTCCCTGCCAACAAGACTGCTGACTGCAGCTGGAGGTGCTGTTGGAGAAGAAATTGCTGTCGGGCCAAGCGAGTCACTGTGCGTAGCGATGGTGGACTTGCCACATTGTTGTCAATGTCCCGACGTCCAATCTCAGCCAACTCCAACATAGACTGTCCATCAATCGCAGTACCCCAAACCACTAAAAGCACTGAAGTGTCGTCTTTGGGGCACACTTAACTCCTTAAAATCCTAGCTTTTGTGGGTACAGATGATAACAGTATAGAAACACTATGGCTGGTTCCTGCTATACACATCTTGTTTTCCATCAGTTTGTGGCTCACGTTTTCCATTGGAAATTCTCCAAGAATCTGGTTGGAGTATGTTGGAGTCCAATCAGCTCAGGCAGGAATGTTTCACAAATCTTCTGAACGATCGCCCATGCCATGGACAAATATCAATGCACAACAAAAGATGATACACACACACACAAACTCTCTCTCTCTCTCAATAAAACTTTGTAGTATCATGTCATACAGGAGTCATACATAATTTCTTTGGGGAAACACAATTTTACCCAAAGGTATGATGACTAAAACAGCAACCCCAAAATGTATGGAATGTCCTCTCCAGCGTCCCCACAACATGCTTTGCGCCTTTCCAGCAGTGATCTCGGCCAGCTTGGGGAAGCGCGACTGGTGGAGCATGGCGGAGCTAAAAAAACACATGTTGAAAATAAAGACTTGGAGCACCCGAAAATTTTGAAAGATTACCCTCTGGTTATGTCAACAGTTTGCTATTGAAAATTGCCATTTATAGTGAATTTTCCCATTAATGGTGGATCTTTCCATCTTTCCATAGTTATGTAAACGTTTACCAGAGGGTACCCAATAATATATTAATACCATCATATTTCCATATTTGGGTCAATTATTGTACTCTCTCTGGATAATCCCCATATTTCCCTATGAAATGGCAATGAATTGGCCATGAAAAAGACAGACCCATGGAGGCTGAAGTTGAGATTTTGACTCCATGGTTTTATTGCGTTTTTTTTTATGGGATTGTAGACCCCAAATATCCAGATAGAGTACATCTATGGAGATATATCCTGAAAGATATGGGTCATGTAGAATGGATTTGAACGGACAGAAATATTAGAAGAATTATCAAGATGATACTTTAATTATCGAGGATGATATATTACCCACGTATAGAAGATAATATATCCTCGGTTCTATGGTATCCACATTTTCTGATCATTCTTGATGACAAAAAATCAGGATAGAATTGTGCCATCCTATGTTTTTTGTTTTAACACTATCGCTAGTATTATTCTGTATACTATTGTACCGTGAGTCCATTGGATGCGCATAACAAACAAAAACCTACTGATGTGGGATGCTATCAAGATATAATACCATAACATGGGATATACGAAGATATACCACTAGGATGCAATGATACGGAAATTATTTGACTCTTACCACTTAGAGGGTATTCTATAGGAGGTATGATGGAATTGATTTGACTACCACTTTGATTCCGCGAATATGTTGACCTGTTATGAGAGCCCCTGCCGGATTAGGATTACATCAATGGGGACTGGCTGAGCTTTGAACACATGTTGTGTATTTACCATTTCAAAAGAACCGGGTCAAAAAAACAAGCAACATGATTTCCGCAATTTCTGAAAGGCTTCTGTTACACCTACCCTCCAATCAAATAAATATCAAATATGGCCATTGGAAAACCCCATTCAAACCTTCATTTAGAGAAGGCTTTCCAGTCAGGTTTGATTACCAGAGGCGGCCCATCTATTTGTATCTTTTTTGGAAAAAGGAAACACGATGTAATTTTCGCTCCTGTGTACCTCTAAAATGGCGTCCTTTTTTTGTTTCAGTTTTCAATCGCTGAATCTACAGTTGATGGGGGTTGTTAAACCACCTTCGAGGTGGGGCTGTCCAAGTTGTGCTGCCAAGCCCATAGGCCTATGACGACCTGAACATCTTTGTATTTATACTACAGTTATCCCCAGATTTTTATTATGTAGTATCTGGGTATTTATACTACCAGGGTTTATACTACCAGGGTAATATATTGTCCCCAAATTTTAATCCTACCAGGTTTTTATTTCATTAATTTTCTATCTTTTTGCGTGGTCATCTGACCGGCGGCATCCTCTTGACACTTTCGCACGAAAAGCGGGTTAATCTCGAACGAGACAAGGCTGCGTTTTTTGAAGGTGCACGGAAAAAAAAATTGGGAACAACAAAAAAACCAGATGACGCAACGATGACGCAACGGTCTTTTCGGAAAGATTCCTGTCATTGTCGCCGCGCGCTAAACTGGGACTGCTGGGATGATCCCCATGATCCCACATACGGGCTGCTGGGATTGCGCCAAACTGGGGTCTCATTATCTACCCTACCTAAACTACCCCCCCCCTCCCCCCCCCCTCAAAATAATTTCCAAAATTATTTTCAGGGGGTTGATAGTGTCTTCGGTTGTTATACGAAACAACCCTCTTTAGGGTAAAATAATTTCTTACGATAGACCCCCCCCCTCCCATTCATCGACGGTGGTGAACCTTCGTAAAAATTATTTCAACCCCTGGGGAGTTAATTATTTTGCCCCCCTCCGGAGACTCCAATCTTTACATATGTATACTTTGGGACCCCCCCCCCCTACCCGACATGATCGCCTTCGCAGGTGTACCGGGGATATTCCATCCCTTCAAGAAAAACACGGGGGTATCAACCAGGTTTTGGAATATGTTTAAAGAAAACATCTTGTTGAATAATTTTCCTAAGCAGTGGGCCTACGGATGTGCATATTGGAATATGCGAGTTATAATCTAAGCCTTCAATATTCCCTGGAATAACTATGTTTTGAAATAATTTCATCTAAAATTTAAATGGTTGAACAAAAAAAGATTTAAAAAAAACTTGGGGATTCCCGCAAAATGATGTTCAACCATCATCTTCATCACTGGCTCTTTCCTACATATTTCCATGTTTTTCATACATCCCCACATTTCTCTCACATTCCCTTCATTTCCTTCCAAAGAACACTCGGTGGGAATGAGTGTGAAAGGGAAAGCATTCGGTGTTTATAGTTTTTTTTAGCTGGCAGCTGCTCACTTTGATTTTTGAGGAGTGCAGGGTATCTCCAATACCCCTAGAATAATTTCTCCCCTTGGGAAATCCCACGGAATGGTATTCAACCTGGCCCTTTCCTGTAGTGATTTTCCTAACCTGTCATATTTCCCATTATTTCTCCCATATTCCCTTCATTTCCCTCCAAAGAACTCATTTTTGGGAGTGTTCGGTTTTGATAGGTTTTTCATTTGTTTCCAGTTTATGGGCGAGTTGGATGGTTCTGGCAGCTTCCCACTTTGATTTTTGGGAAGTGCAGGATATCTCCACTACCCCTAGAATAATTTCTTCTCTTGGGAAATCCCACAAAATAGTATTCAACCTGGCCCTTTCCTGTAGTGATTTTCCTAACCTGTCATATTTCCCATTATTTCTCCCATATTCCCTTCATTTCCCTCCAAAGAACTCATTTTTGGGAGTGTTCGGTTTTGATAGGTTTTTCATTTGTTTCCAGTTTATGGGCGAGTTGGATGGTTCTGGCAGCTTCCCACTTTGATTTTTGGGAAGTGCAGGATATCTCCACTACCCCTAGAATAATTTCTTCTCTTGGGAAATCCCACAAAATAGTATGCCTTTCCTGTAGTGATTTTCCTAACCTGTCATATTTCCTCTTATTTCTCCCATATTCCCTTCATTTCCCTCCAAAGAACTCTTTTTTGGGAAGCGTTCGGATTTTATAGATTGTTCAATTGTTTCCAGTTTATGGGCGAGTTGGATGGTTCTGGCAGCTGCTCACTTTGAATTTTGGGAAGTGCAAGGCATCTCCAATACCCTTAGAATAATTTCTCCTCTTGGAAAATCGCACAAAATGGTATTCAACTTAGCTCTTTGCTTTAGTGGTTTTTCTAGCCTTTCATGTTTCTCCCTCTTTCTCCCATATTCCCTTCATTTCCCTCCAAAGAACTCATTTTTGGGAAACGTTCGGTTTTGATAGGTTTTTCATTTTTTTCCAGTTTCTGGGCGAGTTGGATGGTTCTGGCAGCTGCTCACTTTGGTTTTTGAGGAGTGCAGGGTATCTCCAATACCCCTAAAATAATTTCTCCCCGTGGGAAATACCACAAAATAGTATTCAACCTGGCCCTTTCCTGTAGTGATTTTCCTAACCTGTCATATTTCCCATTATTTCTCCCATATTCCCTTCATTTTCCTCCAACGAACTCTTTTTTGGGAAGCGTTCGGTTTTGATAGGTTTTTCATTTGTTTCCAGTTTATGGGCGAATTGGATGGTTCTGGCAGCTTCCCACTTTGATTTTTGAGGAATGCAGGGCATCTCCAAGATCCTTTGAATAATTTCTTAAAGAACGAGTTTGGTTTCGAGTTGCAAGTTTTGATGCGTTCTTGCTGCAACTTAAGATTGAGGGGAGATTCTGACATGACTACCAGGGAGCACACATGAAACATGATGTTGAATTTATTTGCGTTGTAGGATTCGCAACGCATCAATCCTAAAAAACAAAAAACCTAAAACATAATAAGCCACTTTTGCAAGTCCAACATTGCGCAAGATGGGATATCGCATTGTTCTACCTCGTTTCCTCCGAAAGTTACAACACTGCCATCACTGCGAAGAAGTGCTGTGTGAACACAGCCTGCAGAAACTTGAGTGTACGACATTCCTTCATCCAAAGGTGGAATATGCCATCGGATCAAAACAAGGTCAAACACCAAAATTATTTTGAAATATTTTTTTTTGCTGTGAGAGTGTTTTCGTCAAAATTATTTTGAGGGGGGGGTAACCCATCAAAATAATTTCAAACCAGAAATTATTTTGGTGATGGTTAGAGTCTATAAATCTATACATCCAACATGTTAGATTTTTGAAATTATTTTCAAAAAATTATTTTGGAGGGTAACCCCCCCCTGAAATAATTTCATTAAGGTAGGAGGGATGTCTCATTATGGTCCTATGGTTGAGAAAATGGTCCCTAAAACAATTGGGGACCTTGATTGACCATTGGTAATTTAGTTGATTTAGTTGATTTATGATACATTTGATACATTGGGCTTTGATTTACAATCACCAGACATCAACGACTTTAAGACTGTTTGCCCCGCTGCATTGCGCCTCATCTTTTTCTGCTGAACCCCCCCAACCCCTTACCCTCCGGTAATCAACCGTGGCACTTGAAAATCAATTGTTTTCCCAGCTATAAACCACCAAGTAAAGGGGATTGTTTAGCAAACCATATTTGATTACCTGGCCGAATTGTTGGTTATATATCTCATGATATTCCCATATCCCACCAACTATAGATAATCCACATTAATCATTTAATCACAATTTGAACACAAATAAAATCACATTACCAGAAGGTATATCCCATTAAATCCCTATTGTTGATGATGATATATCCCATTGAATCTTACAAAGTTGTATATTCCATGACATGTCCATTATATCATCCTGAATAATTCACATTTAAACTTATGGTTGGTTATATCCCACCAACTATACATAGCCCAAATGAATCATTACCATTTAAAAACCAATCGCTGAGAGGGTATATCCCATTGAATCCCTATGATGATTATATATCCCACTCGTATGGGAATAGATGCCCTCTGGTAAACTAACATAACTATGGAAAATCACAATTTTTAATGGGAAAATCAACTATAAATGGCAATTTTCAATAGCTATGTTAAATTACCAGAGGGCATCCCTTTATATTCCCATTTAATTCACACCTTTTTTTCCCACTATCCCACTATTCACAATGGGATAATCCCCTTTGCATCACCGTTCCGGTTTGTAAAATATCTCCCATTGAATCCCATGAAAAATCCCTATTGTTGATGGTTATATATCCCATGAAATCTCATTGCCTTATATATCCCACATTCATCATTGTATAACAATGGGATATATTATGTAAGCAATATATCATTTATATCCTCGTTACCTTATAAGAGATATCCCATTCATCATTATACTCCCAGCAATGTGGGTAAAACAATGCCATAAACCACCCAATTGAGAATGGTAGAATCGTAAACATACCACCTATAAAAATGGTGATGGCTGGGGGATGGTTCATGGTATTGTTTTATCCCCATTATATCCATTCAATCATGAGATTAAATTGAAGGATTAATCGCCATATATTCAATCCCCATGGATATGGCATTGTTTTATCCACATTATATATCTGGTTGGTGGTTTGGAATATTTTTTATTTTTCCATATATTGGGAATAATAATCCCAACTGACTTTCATATTTTTCAGAGGGGTTGAAACCACCAACCAAATATTTATTCCCCATGAGATGTCCTATTCATTTTCCACCTCGGCCGCTCGGCATAACTCACGGCATCACCGAAACATCGCCTCCTCCGACAGCGTGGGCACGTCGCTTTCCCCGGCACTGCCGTGGCCTGCTTCTGCGCCGCGATGTCTTCCTGGCTTCAACAAGGGACGGTGAGGGCGGCGGCGGTGGCGTGGTGGTGTTTCGGGTGCCTTAATGGCTACACTTCAGGCCAGGAATATCCAGGTTTTTCAATGGTTATTTTTATGGGGTGACCATTCCTTAGATGGTCTTATTTCACTGACTTAGAATTGCCATAATTGTAAACTGATTCATTGGATTTAAAAGGATTTAACCAACACATAAGGTGATTTTTAGCAGCAAACACGGGGATTTAAGCAACAAAACATGGGATTAATGGTTGATTTATCATAGCTAAGTTGGTTTATAGTTTGGAGAATTCTATGTTATCTGGTAGTTATATGGCATAGTCAACAAGGTTATTATCCTCTGGTAACTAGAATGGGGTTAGTATAGCTAATATTGCCTCAGCAACACTAAGTTACAGTTACAGTAACTATTCCTAAGAACCGATATATAGGCTTATAGATCAAAAATGCAATGTAGCCTCTATTAACTCCAACATGCATTATTTTGATGGGACGTGGATGCTGAAATTCATCGAATTCATCTGAAAGGGGATGCCCCCTCCTTTTTGGAAGGAAAACATGGTTGCCCTCTGGTTATTTCACATAGCCATGGTTAAGCCATGGCCCTAATCGAAATAGATGGTTTAGCTATTAAAAATGGTGATTTTTCATGGCTATGTTAAATAATCAGATTGTAATTAATGATAGTCATTGCCCATTTTCCCTTCGAAAGTCTATTAACCATCTAAGATTCCAAGATCTTTTCTCTCTGAATCAGCATCCCTTTTTTTGAAGAGAACATGGATGACTCCACCGATGGATCTCGCCCCAAGTTTTGTTTTTCCCGATTCGCACCTTGGAAGGGCCTTCCAAACGCCGCAACTCATCATGCAACTGCCTGGGGTACGGTTTGGATCAACCAATCATTGTAGGAATCGGTGGTCCACACAAAAGGAACAAAGGGAACAAAAGGTGTTTTAACAAACAAACATTGGGTTTTTTAGATATTTATCGTTTATTTATGACAAATAGCCAAGTGTTTGGAAATAACAACTGTGAATTCTTTAAGCGTCCCAGGAAGTGATAGTTGAACCATTGGTGTGCACAGTTGCTGACTGGGTTTCATGCTCCACATCCATTAGTTCTTGGTGAAATCCACATTTTGGATGCTTGAATCTTCGCTAATTATATACCCATCAAATTGATTGGCATGCTTTCCCTACTTTATCCCGAATACATCTTCAGTTAAAGCACCATCTCCGAAAAACCTATCCCATCCTTAAATCCCCTGTATCCATCACTGGTTGGTGGTAAAACAACCCCTCTGAAAAATATGAATTCGCCAGTTGGGATGATGACATTACCAATATATGGAAAAATTAAATTCATGTTCCAAACCACCAACCAGATATTCTATTCCATTTGTAGTTAACCCCCCCAATTTTCATGGGATACACACCATTTGTGTCGCACCCTATTCTTTGTGGTCAAATCAAAGCCCTATGTTTCATGCAGTTTTTGCCATCAGATCCATGATTCTTGTCAGCTAAACAAGTCTTGTTCGTTAGGATTTAAGCCTCGACAATTTTCATATTAAAATCATGATATATCATCAATGGGCCATGGCTTCCAGTTCCCAAACTGTTAGTCATAACCAGAGGGTAAAATCCCTATTTTTCTTCTTCACTACCCTCTGGTAAACCTACAAAAAAACTATGGAAAATCATCATTTTTAATGGGTAAATTGGCCATTTTCAATAGCTTTTTGTATGTTTACCAGAGGGTACCCAGTGCCACATTGGCGAAATCCCAACTGTGCCCACGCCACGCCTGAGTTGTTCCAAGCTGGGATCCACCGGTGGTTCTTCACCCACTTCGCCCATGCGCGCCTTTGGAGGGAACCAACGAAACATGGTGGATGACGATGGTGGATTTATGATCGCTGATTGGTGATGAAACATGGGATTCTAATGGGATTATCATGGGAATATGTCATGGGATATGGTGTTATATATGGAATATAATGAAATTACGACAGATAGCTGAGTTGGTGGTTTTAACCATCTTGAAAAATATGAGTCAATGGGAAGGATGACATCCCATATATGACATGGAAAATAAAAGTCATGTTCCAAACCACCAACCAGGATAGCTGAGTTGGTTTATAAAAAAAGTTTGGTGAAACATCATGAAACATCTTAGATTGCTAATTTAGATTGATCTGTGATAGCTTGATTTATAGGAGAATTCGATGGTATCTGGTAGATATGGCCCAGCTGATTTAGATTGACTTGTGATAGCTAAGTTGGTTCAGAAGCAAATTTTTCTGGGGTTCTGGTGGATGTATCGAAGTAGTTCACTGGCCAAGCTATCAAGAACTCAGGAAACGACATTGTAAATATGTGATAAATGATGGTTAATATGTTATTAGTATACTGTTCATAATGGTTAATATATGGTTAAATATGTGATAAATGATGAATAGTGATGGATGAGGGACCAAACATGACCAAACTCTGGGTCATACATAAATACATAAAGCCTTTTAATTTGGTATACCGTATTGGACCCTATGCCTGATCCCAGGTAAATGGACATGGGGATACACCAGGAAGACAGCGGTGGGATGGTGCTTATCATGATACCATTTCGGTAAATCCATCGCTTGGTGGTAAAACAACCATCCAGTTGATGGTTAATATATGGTTAATATACTGTTCATAATGGTTAATATATGGTGATGATATGGTTAATGATGGTTAATCATAATCTGCTTGGTGGTAAAACAACCAACCCCTCTGAAAACTGCGGGAGTGAGTAACAGTTGGGATATCATGATATTCCCAACTGAATGGAAAAATAACAGTCATGTTCCAAACCACCGACCAGATAACAACATATGGAAAAAAACTGCCAAACATTTCTGTGTTTTTTTCAAGGATTTTGAGAGCAAGATCTAAGTACCAGAAATAGTTTCAACAAACAGAGATACGTTTTTTTTTCAGCACATCATTGCCGGACTGGTAACCAAAAAGTGAATGCATATCTTGAGGTAATGGACTCCAATGGGATATATAAGATATATAACACATCCACAACAATGGAACTTGCAGGGTTTGCTGGTTGTTTAAGCGACCAAAATCCATTTCGGATTGAATCCACCAAGACAGAGAGGGAGAGAGTGCATCATCAACAAAGAATGGATACTCAGAACACAAATTCCACTGTAGCCGTAGCCATTCGTTTCTTCGTTTTTTCATGTGGCAACGTGGATTACATACGAGCACGTATCCAGTACCGAAAAACACTGGAGTTGTGACTGCCACATGTTTGTCATATGGGGATTTGCTCCCAATCATGGATAATCATCATCGAAGTAGATCGATTTATGAGTCTCCATTCAACAATCAACCAGCCAATTACCACATGTTTCCATATACCATCAGAAAACGGGCAAACATTACCTACCCTTTTATATACCAGTATATCAACACTAACTATATCAACATCACCAACTACCAATATACCAACCTATTTATTACTTCTATTTCCACAACAATCTTCTTTGGAGACATCCATCATGGCGTCACCTCTGGCCGCATGTAGAAGTCCATCCACTGCTTGGAGGGAAAGCGGCCTGAAGCGACGGGCCACTCCATCCCATTGTCCAAAAAGTGAACTCCAGGGCAAATCTGGCAGAAAAATCAGCATATAAAAAAAACATCCAAGTAGCCCTGTTCAAATTGGAAAAAAGTCCCCAGATATGGAGATATTTCGTATATTAGTTTTATTAGCAACTTTTTCGGGGGCTAGAGGATCAAAAAAAAAACAATAAGGATCCAAAAAAACAAAAAAAAGGGATCAAAAAAAAACAAATAAGGATCAAAAAGAAAACAAAAAATGTAGTAGTAGTAGTAGTAGTAGAAGTAGTAGTAGCAGTAGTAGTAGTAGTGGTGGTAGTAGTAGTAGTAGTAGTAGAAGTAGAAGTAGTAGTAGTAGTAGTAGTAGTAGTAGCAGTAGTAGTAGTAGCAGTAGTAGTAGTAGTAGCAGTACTAGTACTAGTACTAGTACTAGTAGTAGTAGTAGTAGTAGTAGCAGCAGTACTAGTAGTAGTAGCAGTAGTAGCAGTAGTAGCAGTAGTAGTAGTAGTAGGAGTAGTAGGAGTAGTAATGGTACTAGTAGTAGTAGTAGTAGTAGTAGTAGCAGCAGCAGCAGCAGTAGCAAGAATGAACATATTGATTAAATAAAAAGTAAACCCAAATAAACGATGCTTGCGAAAAAAAAAAGAAATAGATAGAAATAGAGTAGGTAGCAAGGGAAAATGATGAAAAAATCAAAGCGGGTGGGGGGAGGGCGCAGCGCCTCCCCCCGCAATGTGTACCAAGAAAGAAGCACACAGGCTCAAGTCTCGATGGATATAAATAAAGATTAAGAAAGAGAAGATGAACCCAAAGAAACGATACATATGAAAAAAAAGACAGAGAGTAGGTAGCAAGGGAAATCGATTAAATCATATAAGCGGGTGGGGGGGTGCAGGGGGGAGGGCGCAGCGCCTCCCCCCGCAAAGCGTACCAAGAAAGAAGTACATAGGCACAAGTCGCGATGGATATCAATCAAGATTAAATGAACCCAAATAAGCAACGATGATGCTTGGGAAAAAAAAGAATAGTAGGTAGCAAGGGGAGCCGGCTAAACAATATAAGCGGGTGGGGGGTCAAGAGAAGGAAGCTTTCCTTTCATTTTTCAAGAGAAAGTTACTTTCTTTCTTTCTTTCTTTCTTTCTTCCTTCCTTCCTTCCTTCCTTCTCCTCCTTTAGTTTTCAAATTTGTTTTTTTTGATCCCTGTTTGTTTTTTTATGATCCTTATTTGTTTTTTGATCCCTATTTGTTTTTTTTGATCCCTCTCCCCTTTTGCGGAGGGTCTAAATACATAATTTTCAACATATCATACTTTTCCAGCTAGTCATATGGCCTTTTCTCAAAACCTAGTACCCTAAGTACCTATTTTAATAGCCGGCCAATGGATGGTTATTCGCTTTAATGTGGTGAAAACAATGCCATAAACCATCCCCCAGTCATCACCATTTTTGTAGGTGGTATAAACTTACCATTCCGAGTCATGGGTGGTTTATTAAACCATTGTTTTAACCACATTTCACATTATGGCTAAAATATCGCCAAAACCTAGTAGCCTAAGTCCCTAAGTACCTTAAAAAAATAGCCAGTGAATGGATGGTTGTTCCCTTTAATGTGGTTAAAACAATGCCATGAACCATCCCCCCAGTCATGGGTGGTTTATTGCATTGTTTTAACCACATTATCTCGTAACAATTTGTTGGTTTCGAGCCATCCCCACCCCGAGGACCCCGAGGACCGCCCGTGACAGACGTTGCCTGGAATCTTGTCCCACATGCTGGTGGCATCCCTTCCGGACCAGGCCAGGATCGCATTCCCTCGACTTGGTGGGTCTACCGGTGAAAGGAGGGTGAAGGAAGACCCAAATCCATTGGAAGAAAGCCATGAAGAAAGTTGTGAAAAATATGACTTAAACCATCTTAAACCTATCAAATCCAGCAGAAATCCAGGAAGAAACCCATGAAGAAAGCAAGATTAAACCATACCAGTAGAGTGACCGAAGATTGGCCGACCATTTCTGATGATCTTCTTGGTAAAGACACATCATGTTGATCAGATCCCGAAGATGGTTCCCACTATTTCCCAATGTCCCATGTATCTGCATTGGAACGTTGAACTGGGTCGTTGGCACAGTGGATTCACATATTCATGGCACATCATAGCACAGTCTTTACAACAAGCCCATCCATGTGTGGTAGATCTATCCTCTGGGAATCAACCATGGGCAGCTGGAGGGTATCCATCTAAATCTGGCTTGGCTTAGAATGATCTCAGTACAGCTGGGCATTTCGACCATCATATTCCAAACATTTCCAGCGATGAACTTCGCTACTGTGGATGGTTGCGAAATCCGAATCACCAGTTGATGGTTTATCCCATTATTTATAGGGTCTCAACCATCTAAGGTGGTGCAGGATTTCTTCCATCCACAGTACAATGACTCTTTGGGAAAAGACCTTGGTCCTGCGCTCAGAGTAAATATATTTGTTTTTTTTCTGATCAAATGGTTGCAGCAAGCCAACAAAACCACTATATACCCATCTCAAGTCCCAACCCCCTTTCTGTGTATAAATGCACCTCACATTTCTGTTGCTTAACTCCTATTTTTTGTTACTAAAAATCATGATTTTGGCTGGTCCAAAGTCCTTCGAAAGGGGCCTTTTTAAAGGCCCTTGGTGTGAAGGGCATCACCACAGCCGAGTGGCGCTGCTCTGGGTGATGCATCAAAAATTCGGTCAGGTCATAGACCACCTGAACCATTGACCGATGATGGAAATGGGGTGATCAATGTTGTACCCTGATTCGTGCGGAGTGATTAATGAAACAAGAATGAAGAAGAGTAAAATCATCTTCAAACAAATATTCTTCACTGATTTCCAACCAAAGTAAAACAATATTAATGGAATAAGAATGAAGCATATTCGATTCTAGAAGACTGTTGGAGTGGGAGTGGAGAATGGTGGTGGTCTTTTGCCAGACTAATCTCCAGGATCCAAATGGCCAGCGAGATACTGATGGAACCGTACCAGGCTGCCAGGGACGGTTCCTGTCCAAAGAAAACCACTGTTTCTGCAGAAGAAGGGAACACAGGTTTTTTTCGGAAGCGGGAAAAACAAGAGCCAAAAAAAGGGAAAATATATTTAGCACGAAACCACAACCGTATGTGGCCATGATTTGGGTCCATGATAAGTTTAAGGGGTGTAGTTGGCAAGACCTCGTGTCCCTCACCCAACCGGACCTTGTTGATGGCGATCCAACAGTCGTGTGGTTTGTTGTGTCTGGCCACTTCTGACCTTGGAACGGGATCAAACCCACGTTGACCCAACCCAAGTACCAGTGATTTATGGCTAACATTGGCTAACCATTCTTTTTCTGAGGCAAAGTCCCAAAATCATGGCTATAGTACTAGTATGAAGGGTATATATTACTTTTATGACCTGTTTTTCTAGATACTCGGAGGGTCTCGGCGCACGTCGATTGTCCGAGTACTGGCAACACATCTTTGTTAAAATCATCGGGGTCAAACAGGCAGATGGTTAAACTGTGTGAGCAACCACCGACCAAAGCAAATGTTTAGTGGTTGTTAATCGGCTTACTACATGAAGGACAGGGCCTTTCAACAGCTTAAAAACAAACATGCGTTTCGGTGCTATTTTTTTCTTTCTTTTGCCGGAATAATTAACTATCGGTATTTTATCTCTCAGTGGTTAGTTTGGAAGCTGGTTGCACTGCTATAACACGGGCTTCATTCCAACATCCTAATCCTAATCTTATAGCCTCCGTGGGGGCCTTTCAAACGAACAAATCCGATACTTTTGCACATTTTGTTTTAAGATTTAAACATTAATTATTGATTAGGAGGAATGGGTCACACATCTTGAACTCTCCTTTTTACCACCATCAGTATCCAAATCTACTAGAATGTGGAGCCAAGATAGCTAATTTCATTGCTTTTTTTCGCAAGGACAACCAAATTTTATGGTAGTTTAACCTATAGTTAGATGGGAAATAAGTTCCAGATATCCGGCTATCCTGGTTGGAAACCCAGAAACATCCACAACGGGGGAGCCCACATTGTCAGGCTACTGGTAGGGCCCCATCTTCCCAACTCCCAGCGACAAAGCCCAGCGACAACGGGATCTTGCCACTCCAGCTGCCCTGCAATGGCACCTGCGGCAGCTGGAGAACATGCAAACCCATTGCTAAAATTTAGTGTATCATTTATTAGTAATGTATCAATGGATACAATGTATGAATATAACATCTTATTTAAATGTATCAATTTACTACTAAATTGAAAACAACACCCATGCAAAATTAGTATCACATCAGCAGAAGTTCCGTCTTTTATCAAAATAATGAATCTTGACTTTGTTTCAAATATTGTTTAGCACTGTATCAATTTGTTGCTTCCTAAACACATGATCAACTGGAGGATGTCAAACAAACCAGCTGTGACAACCAAAATCCTTCAGTTCCAGCTGCAAGGCGATACCCCTTGGATATCTTTGTTGGTTTAGTTTCACCCCTCTAACCGGTTCCATAAACGTGCCATAAACTCACATGTGGACTTACTCACTAAGCCAACTTAGCAATCATAAATCACCTATAAAACCAAAATCACCATGTTTGATGCATGTTTCCATTTTTCTTACAGTAGTTAACTCGCCATTTTTGTTGGTAAAAAAACATGTTGTATAGGTGAAATTCCACCTTTTTGCCGTGGTTTTTCCATCTCATTTTCGGCCCTTCGGGTCCACCTGGTGCAAATGGGCGTGATCGTCATGGGCCAACACGTCTTCGATCTGTTTCTTGACGTCCATGGCCTTCAAATAGTCCTGGTGCCCCCGTTCGAGAGCGTTCAGTTGGTTTATAAGTTGGTGAACAAAACTCCAATAACTATGGTTTATAGATGGTGTATCTACAATTAATGAGATTAAAAACCATCTTATAACTTGGGGGGCATCACCTTGTGGCAACTGGGATATGTCCAACAAAACTCGGTCGAATTCTCGGCGAGAATGTTGGTAAAACAATATGAATTATCATCCCCAAAATCACCATAGTGCTAACAAAAAAACATATACGTATATATATATATATATATATGGGTGGTTTATGGCATTGCTTTACTAACATTTATGGAGACTTACTTGTAATTCATGGTGGTTGCTGGTGATTAACGAAGCGACCCAACTTCTCCTTTTCTGTTTTTTTTCCCTCATCAGACTGCAAGTAACTGTATCATAGGTTCAAACGCAGGAGTGGTAACGCATGCTCTTGAGAATGTATGGTGTGCAAAGGGTGGGCGTGGGTCATTGTGGGTTTATTTCTCAGATCCAATTTTATCACGAGGAACTTTGTCCACCTTGGCCTTGATACGTAAAGCTGGTCAATTTCCATGTTAAAGCCTTGAAAATGCAAGGTTCCCCGAATAATTAGATGCCGTTTTTAACCCTTATCAAAAAACAGCACCCGGACAATTTTTCAAGGGGTACCCCATGAGCAACCCAGATCCTCAAAATATAATTGGTTGGATGGTATCCTGCACAAAAACTTTTGGGGTGATTTTTTTAGATTTTAAAAAAATCAATTGAAAATAGATTCAAATGAATTGAAAGTAAAGTGATGTCAATTGAAATCCTTTCTTATCAACAGATTTCTTTAAGGGTTAAAAGGCAAATAATTTCACGCAGGTTGATTTCAATTGAAATCCATACTTAAGTTCATAATCCTGAATTCCCCAGACCTGGTCCCCAAGAAAATGCCGAGTTAATGAGTAGACCAGAATTGTTTGAAGAGGCAGCCCTAGACTAATCAGTATCCAACATTACCAATTCGAACCCCCACTTATTTCTACCAACAAAATCCCATCCAGGATGGCTTTCAGGGGTCGCTTTCCCAGATCTGGCTATTATCCCATTGTATCCCCAAATGTCGGTCATAAATGTCTCAGCAACTTGACTATCAATCAATCTCACATATTTCAATCCAGCAAATATTTAAGTGATTGTTAATCATCATTTTCCCCATTAGATATACTTAATGGCAATTTTATGGGTATACCATGGTATACCAATCCGTTGCGATTTTTGCGTCCTTCCAAAATTCTTGGGGCGGCGAAAAACAAGACGAGCCAAGTTCGAATCAACCATCATTTTCCATGGGTTTTCTATGGTTTTCCATTGTTTTCCATGGGTTTTCCATGGTTTTCCATTGTTTTCCATGGTTTTCCATGGTTTTCCATGGTTTTCCATGGGTTTTCCTTGGTTCTCCTAGTGGATACCCAGCATTTTCCATGGTTTTTCCTAGTTCCGGCAGCCTTTCCTCAGCTCCACCGGTGATCCCACGTGGGTTGGGTCCTCGGCGTCCAGCGCGGCGCGTTTCTGCGTCTCCAGGCGTTGGATCTTCACTTTCAGCTGTGGATCCACCGTTTGGTCCTGGAGATCGACATCCTTTGGGACAGGTCAAATTGTAGGATATATGAAGTTTGGACATCCCATTAACCATTAAGTTTGGATGATATATACATGGTTAATGGTTTGGTGATGGTTTTGGTAGATAGGATATTTGGAGGTATCTAGATGGTAGGTAGTGGATGGTCATTATGGGATATATGAAGTTTGGATACTTGGAGGTATGAATTAAAACAATAGAAAATCATAGAGGTATCTCCATAGACAACTTTAAAAAATAGAGGTATGAATAAAATCATAGATCGAAAACGGGTATCTGGAAAGTACTATGTTAGAGGTATGTTGGTTATATCTATAGAGGTATGAATAAAACTATAGTACTTCTATATGATATAGTGAAACATCAGAGGTATGAATAAAAACATAGATCATCCATAGAAGTGGATATATCACTTATAAAACATAGTTTGATAGAGGTATCATAGAGGTATATATGATAGTGGATCTATAACCATAGAAACGGACATAGGTATGGTTCTGTAAGGTTCTGGTTACAGAGATCTATAGAAGTGGATGTATCTATGATATAATGTATGTAGAAAACCATAGAGGTATCTATTTATAACCATAGATCATCTAGATCATCCATAGAAGTGGATATATAACCATAGTTTTGTGGAGATCCTTTTGGACTGGTCAAATTCATCGGGTACTTCACCATCAAAGAGATGGATTTTAGCTACAAATGAGACTAATCCCACAAGCCAAGATGTACACAACTTGCCTCTTGAAATCTGTCTCGAAGGTTCTTTCAAAAATAGTGATACATGACATGAGCCATGATACTGTTGCTGTTGACAGCCACGGCAAGAAAGGAGAAAAGGATAACTACAGGGGAAAACGCGCATGCAAAGAAACTGGACAAAAGCATGCGTTTGTGTGAAAGAAAGGTGGACAAACATCACCTGGAATACAAGGGAAAAACCTCGTTGAGACCCCTGCCGCTGTCCATTGGAGAGCGTGGAAAAAAGAAAGCCAGCAATCCATAACCATTACCCTCCGGTAAATTAACATGGTTGGTGGTTTCAAGCATCTTGGAAAATATTAGTCAATGGGAAGGATCATCCCATATATTATGGAAAATAAAAATGTTTGAAACCACCAATTAGATATGATGTTTCAATACATTCTGGTTGGTGGTAAAACAACCCCTCTGAAAAATATGAGTTCGTCAATTGGGATCATTATTCCTAATATATGGAAAAATGATCCAAACCACCAACCAGCATTGTAAAATGTTGTAAGTGATTGTAATCATGCACGGTTGGACCTTATATATTGCAAAATAAATACTAATAGGATGGACTTAAGCCTCAAACTGATGGGGATTTGATCAATGAAAACAGTAATTGATAATGACACTTGGGACTCATGGGGGAGAAGTGAGCCCACCTGTTTTGGGGATCATGAGGTATATACAATTGACTGTCTTTTCATAAAATATCATGACATATTACATAACTATAACTTAAAATATGTTGTAATGTATTGTGAGATGCTATGAGTTATTCTAATCTACTATAAGCCAAGATACCCTCATACCCTCTGGTAAACTAACATAACCATGGAAAATCACCATTTTTTATGAGTATAATTGGTAAATCAACTATAAATAGCAATTTTCAACAGCTTTTTGTATGTTTACCAGAGGGTATGTTCAATAAGTGAATACAAGCCGCTGCGGGATGTCACTTTTTGACCATCTGTAGAAGGCGAAGATGGCCATCCCCATGAACTGCCCATTAAGTTATCCCATCTTGAGTATATATATATGTATATAGAACATTGGGACACATAAATACTGTGTATATATATAATGCATAGAAATATATGGGGATAAAAGGCATATGTGAATCTTAAAACACTTATATCATAATCATTAAATGATCTTTCATGGCTAAATCCGCCTTTTTCGACCATGCCATGTCTATCCGGGGCCTGCATCAGTCGAGGGATGCTGTCTGCTTTGTGGCTCTCTGTCGCACTGGAGCCTTGCTGGTGGCGGTTGTAGATCAGATGATTCTGTTTCAATTGGTATGGATAGCAAAATACATATGTATACATTTATATAGCGATAAGGATGTATAGGATATCCCAGTTTACTGTGGTGATATCTATCCCTATATCCTATACCAATCTGAAAAGGAGAGAGAAACTGGATATAATCGGACGAATTTCACGAATACAATGATACTTATGGGGTATCAACATGGCTAGGGGGGTAAATCTCCTGTGTGTGAGCTATACCAACATCATCACCATCATCATCATCATCATGGGTTCAATACCGTCTCAAAACCCCCATGCATTTGCGTTTCCAATCATTTCCACATAGCGGTTTGTCTGACTCAAATCCCGCGGTTTCAAATCACGTTCACCATCAAAACACTAATTTCTGTTGGTTGTATCTCCCAGTTTATCAAAATTTATCGCGTTGACTGCCGTTATTTACCCCAGGAATTGTCGTGAATCGCATTCAATTGCCATCAATATCCATGAATGCCCCCACATCTTCTATACTTAGATGAGTTTACAGACCAACAAACATAAGTATAGAAGATGAACTTACAGATGATATCTACATTTTTAACATTTAAAACTATATATAGTTAGAGGAAATTATCCCCTGCGAATCACGTTTGCAAGTCATCCGCAGCTCCTTCTTGGGTATACCTCCATTACATATCATATATCCCTCAAAATTCATGGGGATAGCACATTCCAAAACTCACCTTGTAACCCTAATATTGGATTGTCCCATTTATATTTTGAGGGTTTCCATATATGGAGATACCCCCATAGCTGGATGCTTTATTTCAAAGGAAAATCCGATCTATAAGTGAATGATAACTGGGGGTAGCCCTATCAGGAAACCTCCATTGATCATTGGGGATGTTGTAAGCCTCCCTTACACTGGTGGGATGAAACCATCCCAGCAGCTCAGGACTCGATCAATCTCTTCCCGGATTTCAACGATGCGCGCCTGGAACGGTGGTGATACACTTGCCATCAGAAAGTGTGTTTCAATGGGGTTCAGAATCAGAAAACCATCATGTGTTTCATGTATATCTGACTTTCAAAACTCATTGAAACACCATTTTTTAGCCTACACTAGGATGGTTGATATACCTGAATGGCCTGATGTGATATCTTTCAATACCAACAGATACCAAGAATCTCGAAACTCGATGCGACCGGCAAACAGTTGCGACGAGTCTTCCAATGGCTTACGTAAATCACCCCAAGGCAGGGAAGACGAAATACCAAAGAATCACGTGGACATGTTCGATCAACACAGACCCTCTACAAGAATGGGGCAATATATCCATGATTAATGATGATAATATAGCAATATATGCTTGATTGATGATGATTTTTGGTCTTTTAGCCATTTTCAAGGTACATGGAGGCTCCAATCACATACCATTGGCAGTGCAGACTCCGAAAATTTTGGCGGCTACAAAGGTTCGTCCAAGAATGGAAGATGCTTTTTCTCAACCCATTTCTATTGTATTTTGGGGCACCCTCTATTTTCTTCTAAAGACGAGGGATCCCAATTTCATGATGAAAATAGCATCTATAGATATTATATATATATATCATACATATCTATATTGGATGAAAATAAGATATTATACATACATATGATTATAGTATATAGAAAGATTTGGATGGCATATCACCACCTATACGATATAGTTATCAACCAACAGGGCGCTTTTTTTGTCGCCAAACTCTGCTCCACGGTCCCGAGAGGCCTCCCTTAAAGTGTGCCAGAACTCCTCGGACATCAAACTCTCGTCGACACCTCGGGTCGAGGTCCGTGGTCAAGTTGGATTGGGGTCTTCGGCCTCTGGTTAGATGGGTTAGTTGGGTTCGATTGGGTTCGCTGGGTTAGATAAATCATCTATAGTGCCGGACATATACTTAGAACATTGGTTTTGGAATTCCAAAACATGTTCTAAGTAGAGATCCTGGACCACTACTTAGAACATATATGTTCACGGGATGTTCTAAGTAGAGGTTTTGGGGGTTCCCCCATGTTCTAAGTAAGAATCTCCCCAGCTATCTACGTGCATTTTTGGAAAATCCTGTGTATATATAATATATTTTTAATATTGTAGTTGTCCGGCACTATATATTCATATAATAAAAACTTTCCAAACCTGATGTTCGAATTGTAGCCTCTCACCTAGAGCATCCGGATCCATTCGCTCATTTTGTTCAGCTCAATATATGTACCTATTTATCTCGAATCTCGTCCCGCTGTAGGCTTTGGACCATTCCAACCGCTCAATCGGTCATATAATTTCAATATACAACGTATCTTAACGCAACATCACACCACCTGTATATATAATATAAATATGCAGTGTTAAGTTGTATGTATGTATACATATACATATATTTACATGTATATATGATGGCATGTTCTAAGTAGAGGATCCTCATATGTTCTAAGTCACTTAGAACATACGTCCCCCTATTCGCCGAAAATGTTCTAAGTAGAGCGCGCGTACCCACCGAAAAATTTCCAAAACGATGTTCTAAGTAGTTGTCCGGCGCTATATAGGAATAAAATGGGATATAATTATCATAATTTATATTTAGCCAAAAAAAAATAACAATTTTCTCTTCCTCTATGGATTAAATTCTAACTATTACTGTACCCAATTACTGGAATCTACTCCTACCTGGATGTTTCTTAACTCGGGCCAAGTCCTGGGTGATATCGTCCTGGGGGATCAGCACATTGGGAGCCCCATTTTTTGATATCTACGTATTGTTTCTAAGTAGGTTACTGTAAGTATAGTGTATGGATGTCAATGGTATAGATATATCATGATATATCTGTGGTTAATTGGGGTTGCAAACATGTTATAAACAAACTTAGGGACTTTGTTCATGTTTGCAATGAATAGTCCAACATGTTCTGGTCCAAAGACATCCCCACTTTGTCATGTGCCACGCTTTATCAAGGGTGAAGGGAGTGAAAAACTCACGGCGATCAATGACTTGACAAAGACCTTGATTGTCAGAAAGGGCCTTGATTGCGGCCTTGTACGTCCACATGTCTTGATGGCCTTTGTTCCCACCCTGTTGACTGCTTGCACCACCCTTCAAGATTGCACGAATGACTGTCTTCATAACAGTCCAATTCGAGAGGTTTCCTACATGAACTAGTTGTGGTTGTCGTAGCAACTATCGGAACTATCGTTGACTTCTGAGAAACTGTTGGAGACCTCCATACTTTGTCAATACGCAATCCTCTGATCTTGATTGAGATCAACAAAAAATGGGTTTGTCGACAAAACAAGGAACTGATGTGTTTAACTATCATGATTCAAATGGTTAGCTGTAATGATAAATATCGTGACCATCACTAACTATTAATATAATATATATATATATCATTGAATATCTATGAATATCTATGAATGATTCATTAATGACATATTCACGAAATGAACCATGCGATTTTCAATGTTTTTGGGATGCATCACCACAGCCAGCCTCAACAGCTGGGCTCCCAGGCCCAACGAACCCAAATGCGCTTCAGGTCGTAGGTATTGATCAATCTTCACTCCCTGGCGGAAGTGACTCTTATGCCACGGTTTTTGGGTTGGACAACAAACTAATGTACCATCGGCTTTCGGGTGCCTAGGATGCCAGGGTCTTGACTCATAGCCATATGTGTATATATATACATATAATGTGGTTAAAACAACAATCAACCACCCCATGTTTGATGGTTTATACCACCTATTTATAGTGATTTTGGGGGATGGTTTATTATTGTTTTAATTAGTTAACTATAGATATGACTACCATAAAGCCAACAAGCTTAGTCTATACTTGTAAATCAACTTAAACAAGGGAATGGGGCACCACTATGGCCCATAGTTATGGCATAAATCCCCGCATAACCGTTAAATACCGCTAACTTCGCTGACAACAAAGCCCCATATTTTGTTACCCTCTGTTAAACTAACATAGCTATGGAAAGTCATTTTTTTAATGGGTCAATCAACTATCAATGGCCATTTTCAATAGCTACGTTAAATTACCAGAGTGTAACTTGGTTCCATCAACAAACCGCAGCATCCGCGTCGGCACCTTGTGAATCTCATTGAAAAACTTCGAGGCATCCTTTCCAGCCCAAGCCTCGGAAAAAGGATGGAGAATGGATGACAATAATTCATGTTGGTGAATATGTATGTATGTATGTATGGATATGTTAGGATATGTGAATACATGTTATTATATGTTAACATATGCGAATAGATTTGATTGGTTGCTATTATATGTTAGTAGATGTTAACATTATTGGTTCTATCTTTGACACAGTTATAGTTTTTTTGTGGGGCAGCGCCTGCAATGAGGGGCCCGGCGGGCAAATCTCACGTTGCCCAAACTCGTCATTGATGTTTGGTGCCCATCATTAATTCTTGGAGAATGTCATGAATATATATATATATATATATATGTTTCCCCTAATATTAAACATTGAAAAACCATCCAAAACCATGGTTTTACGGTATGCTCGGATTACACACTTGGGACCAAAGCAATGGGGCTGTTATGATTCGGGATGGGATGTGATTCATGAACCCCAACGGTTGTGATAAAAATGTGGTACCAACGAAGTATCATATTATCATATGTTATCACTATTAGGAGAAAACCCCGATAATTAATATACCATGGGTTGCAAAAAGAACCCCATTTTTTTCATATACGATGGGGTTGGCATGACATGTATATACACCAACCTGAAATGTTTCGTCAACGGGATGGTTGACTTTTTTGATCACCACCTCTACTGGCATGCCAGGACAGCCAAGGGAACAATGGTCTGAACCGGAGTCTCCGACAGAAGTGTCCTTGACCATGGCAGCTGCCTCAACGTGATGGTGCCCTGAGCCAGTTCAACTTGAACTTCGTTGGCACAAATTCCGAAGCATCACGTGCCATCCTCAAGGCATGTGTGGCTCCGCCATCAAGAGGGTTCTTCCTCCTGTTTGCACTTCCAAGCTGCTAATCCTCATCGCCTTCATCGTTGGCAATCTCAAGGATTTCAAAAGTGAAGCAGCTTCAGTCAGCAGCTCCTGGGCTGGTGCTGCCTGAGCCACTTGATTGGGGTCATCTGGTGATACAGGTGTCTTGTTGTTGATGTCTGTCACAACAAAGTCTTCGTTGATTTAGTTTCTTTGGTAGGATCCCAAAACATGGAAATTATTGCCACTACTGTCTGTTCTTATTCAAGCTGTGACTCTGTCATACTCAACGCCGAAAATCTAAGTCTGGATTGGTAAACGAATTGTAATGTAATCCGAAAAGAAACCACATAGAAAACCAAATGCAATTCCAAATCGTAAAGTCAAAAAATATATACATCCAACAAACTAATAGAAAATACAAACGATATGTTTTCCTAGCAGAACCCAGCTGAGTGTCCAGCTTTTGAACAGCTGAGGCCGAAGCCAAGATGGTGGTGGGCCCTCCAGGATGTCTATCCATGAACTCGGAGAGATCGTAGACCTGCAACAAATCGACCAACACTTTACTGGTTTATGGTAGATGTATCGACAGTTGGAGGATTAAACCATAAACCATAGTTATCGAGAGTTATGGATAGTTTATGATAGTTATTGAAGACGAGTTTCTAAACCAAGTTATAACGTGGGGGTGGGGGACCCCTGGGCTCATGGCACGAATGCCCAATTTAGATTGCAATGAACTATGGTGAAAATCAACCTGGGAACCGGGTTCTCCTGGGAACCGGGTCATTGGATCCTCTGAGTGGTGGCGCATACATAGGTGGCGCAGGAACTTCCTGCACCTCCCTGAAGACGGTCCCAGGCACCCCAGAAACCGAAGAGGCGAAAAGGTGGTTGTTATTTCTGTGCGAATCTTCTGATAGTCCAGCTAGACACCCTGGTGATGCGACGTCGGCAGAGCGATTGTGTAGCTCAACTGTGGCCATGGCCTCTGAAATCGGGTATCGTTCAGTTTCATGCCGCGGCCTGCATCAAAATCGAAATTGATTTTCTCACCTTGCTGCAAAAGGATCAGAAACTTTCGATTGCCTGCTATGTTTGGACTGCAGAAGATGGCACAGGCGCCAAAATGAATGCGGAGCCCAACTGAACGCTGAACCCGTTGGATCACACATGCTGGCATGCGTGCAGTCTGCACATTTGCTCTGGATCTGAGCTAAATGTTGGGTACCATCTTTTCTCTCAAAATTGGGAACACCAAAATCCAGTGGTTTATCATCTCGCCCTCCGGTAAAATGACTGTTCTGCGGGATACAAAATTCAAAAGGTATAACTCATTGCTGGGCAAAACGCCATATATAATTTGTAGTCATATATATATATACATAAATGTGTGCATACATTACAAGACATATACAATCAGTAGATAGATGCACTATGGGGAGTTGCAGGCTTATGGCATGTTTCTGAAATAAGGGGGTGGGATTCTCTCCAAACATACAACCATTGAAGGAAGGTTTCACGGATGGCCGCAAAAGAAGGCATAAGGTTCATCCCTTTAGATGGTCCCTTGTGAACAGCTTGGTATGCCCATGTCCCCTACTTGGGGCTGCAGTTCCGCTAAAGTAGGTCAAACATAACCATAGTATACCATAGTAACTATAGTTGAAAGGGGTAAATCCCAACTTATGAAGCTTATTACCATAGTTGTTACCATAGTTATGCCCATGAAAGTCACTCCTGGCCCACACAAGTCACATCATCTACAAAGCAAAAGCATCTTCCTTTCCATTTGTTGGGTTGCTGGATCAAGATCCGCAACCCTCACTGTTTAACCGTAGAACCATTTGGTAAAACAGGCAATGTTCCTATTCGCGTTTTACTTTGCATAAATTCAAAAGTTAAACCCACTTTCCAGCTGGTTACGATTCGTTTTGTTGAGGTTTTGTATGTTTGCTGGTGAAATAATCTCTCAATTCCTTCCACAGATCAGATTAAAGACAACCCAAATGAAACTGGTGTATTTGTATTGGATCGATTCATTCTGGACCTCTCAAGGGGGGCATTGTTCAGAGGATTGGGAGAAGGGATATAAAAACCAATCAACAAAAAGTCATGGATAAAAAGAACCACTATCAATCACTATCATCAGTACTTACTTAACAAAAACATCTTGGCACCAACTATCATGGTGTAAAAAGACGTGTTTTTTTTGTTTTTCCTTGTTTTGCCCATTGTGTTTTCCAGGGATCCTCACCAAGAGTCATGGAAACGCGCCTTCCCGTTCAAGGCCACCCAGCAATCGTGTGGCGTGATGTGCCGGTTCACCTGGCGAGACCAAAAAAACATCGTGGAAAACATTCAATTGTCATAAGTGATTTGTTGGTGGGATAAAAAAAACTTTCTGTCATCTTTTGGGAGATTATCATGGTGCCTTTTAACCAAAAAATACTGGAGGTTTCCAAAACTGCGTTGAAAATGCGGACGATCCACCTTTTTAAAAGGCAAATGTGGGAAACGGATAAGACATGATAAGACAAAGTATTAATTAAACACATCTGAAAAATGAAGAACAATCAAGCAGTATAAACTATATAGTAACTAGATACTTGAAAATTCGTAGACATGTTCTCAAAAACTGGAACGTGGAACTAGTATGCACTTGCAAAAAGGTGAATAAGGCCCGAGGAGATCATTGATGGAAAGAAATGATCATTGGATGTCATTGGACATTGAACCCAAGGCAACCTTGATTGTTTTGGTTGTTTTTCGGATTGTCATCAGGGGTATCGAGCATGGACGGACTCCTGGAAATGGATGATTTGAAGCATATAATATATCATGTAGTTGTAAGCACATCCCGTTGTGACCTTGCAAGGAAATGATTTTGGACACTCACAAACACTCACAAACATTGGTCTACATACCCCATCTATGTTGGTGGCATTTTCGCCATCTCACTGAAGTGGTGTTTCTGATCACGTGGCGCCCACATCTTTGTTGGCTTTGTCACCCTATTCTTATTTAAATCCCATTGAAATCCTATTAAATCCCCTTAATCCTTAAATACCCTTAAATCCCCTTAAGTCCCATTGAAATCCCATTGAAATCCCATCAAATCCCATGAAATCCCACTAAACCCACCATTTTTTCATGCTCCAAACAGTCCAATCCCCATCAAATCCACCAATTTTTCGTTGCTGAAGCTCCGCCTCTGACAGGGGGATGCCCTTGGAGATGGCCGCCGCAGGGGTTTGGTGCATCAAACGCACCTCCCTGGTGTCGTTTGTCGAAGTGGGGAAGGAGCCGGGGGTCACCAAGGAAAACAATGGGAATTTCGGATCAAAAATCATGAGTTATGCTGGATATATAGTTGATGATGTTGATTTATGTTTCGTCGGTTTAGTTCACGATTGGTGAATGATTGAGTTTGGGGTAGATATATCGAACTAGCTGGGGAGCCACTCATCTCCGTTTGGGATGGTACTTTAAGGCTGATTGGATATGGTATCCCCAATCATTTATCAATTTTAGATGGTGAATCTAAAAATGATGGTAAATTCACATTGATCTCCCATAAACCATACTGGAACTGAAGGGGGTTGAATTCCAACAAAAGAGAAATCCGTGTTGGTTCTTTCCTACAAGAATTGAGAACTTACCCACAATACGGGTGATTGAAGCAACCTGAACATGCTGAGCCAGGATCTGGAAGTGAAAAACTGACATGGGGATATCACCACCAATGAGTCAGACCCACAGAGATTCATCAACAAAAAATGGGACTTTAACCAGAATGATGATTCAAGAAATCAAATGAGAGAGATACAGTGATACACATTCGGAAGGAAAGGAATACAATATACCGAATCCACAGAGCCAAAAGGGTATCCATTTGCACAATTACAAATGTTGGAGACTAATATCACAATTTCAACTGGAAACAAATCTAAATCTCAGCAGCAAAAATGGTGATTTGAACAGCAAGCATGTAGGATCTTCATTGCAAAAAAGAGGGTCTCACCAACCACAAATAAGGACCTAGCAATTTTCATCAAAGGGAGGAAGTCAACAAATCCATCTCTTTAGGGGATCAACTATCACTTGACATGGTGGTCAAATAGTGATTAACACCCCCAAAAGATCAGGTGTATTAAGCCATAAAGGCGAATCTCAACCAAAAGGGATTAACATGGTTGAACCCATTCAAGAAAACATGCCATGCCTTTTCTGTTTTGTGACTTCAGTGAGTCTCTACCTTGAATTATATAATATGACGATGGGTACCGTAAACCTCTCCATCGGTTCAGGGGTTCTTTTCACTACCTTTTTTCTATTGATCTAACAATTGGTTGGTGGCTTCGCAAATTTAGTAATAGTATGTATAAGCATCTATATATTCCACTATTATTCACGATTTTTTCTATTCTGTGCATAATGATAAAGATAATCTAATAATAATAGTAATTGAAATAAATAGAAATAATAATGGACAAAATGCAGGCTGGGAACCCAGTTCTAGCACAGCAGGTCCGGCAAAGACTCTCCCATGGCGGACCGGTGAGGTGCACAACACTTCGCTTTGCGGCTCTGGTTGGCAAAACTTCCATGGCTGGGAAGTCGTGCACGTAGCCCTCCCGTTACGGCGCCACGTCCCTTGGAGTGTCACCTTCGGGCGGAGTGGCTGCCGTGTTCTCAGCGGCCTGGCCTGGTCATTTGTCGCGCACATTTAACTGAAACTGCAATAATCCATGCTCCGTTTCTTTTGTGTGACAAGGAAAACGACACGAACGGTTCTTCCCAAAGTGGTTTGTTGGCACGTTGGAGCGGAAGATTTATCATGTCACCCCCAGAAGGGTTACCCACTTGTTTGAACCAACAACCCCAAACAATACCCTTGTTTAAAAATGCAACTAACATCTTGATTGGACGGTTTCCAACTGGATTTGCCAAACAGGTTTGATTCCATCCCCATGGATTCCGATTTGGATCACCATGTCTGGCCAAGTCCCAATTCTTGATGCCAAAAATCCATTGAAATCTTACTAAATTCATCTAAATTCATCTAAATTGACCATTAGGAATTGATAAATTTTACTATATAAATCTTACTAAATCTTCATGGTAAAGCCCCATTTTGATGGTCAGATGCCTATGTCTTCCCCATGTCTTCCGTTTCTTTTGTGTTTCGGAACCGCGCGGAACCGTGGCGCCTGGATGGTAAAGGCGCAGGCTTGGAGGCAAAAGGCTTCCCCACATGGCCCATCCTTGGGATGGAAAATCATGGAGGAACCAATGGCAAAAATAGGGAGGCTAGTGACATATATAAATATTGTACTATATATGTATAACAGCTTTGGACACCCTGGTGTGTATGAGGGATTACAATATTTGGGCCCATTTTAATGAATAAGAATATCAAAATAATGACATCTACTGGTTTAACCAACAAAAATAGTGGCTGTTCAGGGGATTCGTGGATATATATTCTAAAGGTTGAGAACTACTTAGGCCCTCCAACTACGATTGAACACGGAGTGGCAAGTCACAATGTGTATATAGTTATATGCATATACTTGCAAATATACTGCACATATAAACATATTAAGTAATATTTTAACTACGTATATATATATATACACAATATAAACCAAATGTTTGTAGGTACTTTGAGGGTCTAGGTCCTATGAGGTCAGCGAGAGTCTTCTTGCTGTTTGTAATGCAAGGGTTGGAGGTATGATGGGTTGAATGAACTGGGGTACCGCAATAGCTGGAAGGTTTAACATGGAACTGCATGGAAAACCCAACAAACATGGTATGATCTGGGGGTGCCCCTAGTTTAGGAAACCTCCACAATATGTGTTCCAATTTTCCGGCTTCTTTCCACCAGTGTTCAGCTTCTCTTTTTTGTGGGTTGAGCAAGGGGCCTGTGCATTGTTCACTGGATTCAATACAATTTGCGGTCGACAGTGTCGCTCTGTTGAAAATCATGCGTTTAACTTTCCGCATGATGGAGTTCCTCAATCAAAGGACAACCTTGTATCCATCAGAGTCTCATACAGTTTTTCACAATGTCATGCCTCAAAAACAAAGACTGACATTGTGACATTGTAAAAAATGATGTGTATATATATATAGATATGTGTACATAAGTAATATTTCCAAATTCATTTCCAATCTTTCTTCGGTTGATTTTCTTCATGAAGCTTGGTTCCAAAGCTTTCGTTTCCTGCTTTATGGGTGAAGGACTAAGTATCTTTCACAGGAGCTCTCTATGTTCTCTTGTCTTCAATTCTCCAAATTCTTCCTTCTTCTATGTCATACTGGTTCTCTCGTTTCAAACTGTCAAATTTCTTCCTTCTCTGCTCAAGTCCAAACTCACACCTTCGTTGTCTTACCTGGAAGCCTGCTAGCTGCCAGATATTTTTGCGCCATGCTTATCTTTTCTTCAATACTTCAGACCATAGGGCTGAGTACGATGCTTTTTTCAGAAGGCATGCCTTGAGACATTGAATATTGTGGACATACAAAAAATCCAAACATATAGATCTAAGAGGTCGGCCATGCTCAGCTTTTGAATCCTGCTGGTGGTTTTCCCAGGCGAACAGCTCAGCTCTTGGCTCTCCAGCGAATTGCCGCCTTAGAAACGCCATCAAGAGCACCGGGCGCGAGAGCCACAGGTTTTGGAAGCACCAATGACTCCAGCGGACAACCCTCAAAAGCCCGAAACCCAATTCTTGTTACAGAGTTTGGAAATATCAAGCTTTTCAATGAACTGCAGTCACGAAAAGCCTCATGGTCAATTCTTGTCACAGAGTTGGGAATTTTGACGTTCTCCAAGCAACTGCTTCCGGAAAAAGCACCCCACGCAATTCTTGTCACAGAGTTGGGAACGGTGACGTTCTCCAAGGAACTACAACCCGCAAAGGCCGAGCCCTCAATTTCCGTCACAGAGTTTGGAATCGTCAAGCTCTTCAATGAACTGCATCCGGGAAAAGCGCTAGACCCAATTTTTGTCACAGAGTTGGGAATGGTGACGTTCTCCAAGGAACTACAACTCGCAAAGGTCGCCTCCTCAATTTCCGTCACAGAGTTTGGAATCGTCAAGCTCTTCAATGAACTGCATCCGGAAAAAGCACCCCACGCAATTCTTGTCACAGAGTTGGGAACGGTGACGTTCTCCAAGGAACTACAACTCGCAAAGGTCGCCTCCTCAATTTCCGTCACAGAGTTTGGAATCGTCAAGCTCTTCAATGAACTGCATCCGGAAAAAGCGCTCGTGCACCCAATTTTCGTCACAGAGTTGGGAATGGTGACGTTCTGCAAGGAACTAAAACCCGCAAAGGCCGAGCCCTCAATTTCCGTCACAGAGTTTGGAATCGTCACGATCTTCAGCGAACTGCATTCGAAAAAAGCGCTAGACCCAATTTTTGTCACAGAGTTGGGAATGGTGACGTTCTCCAAGGAACTACAACCCGCAAAGGCCGAGCCCTCAATTTCCATCACAGAGTTTGGAATCGTCACGCTCTTCAACGAACTGCATCCCCAAAAAGCGTTCCACCCAATTCTTGTCAAAGAGTTGGGAATGGTGACGTTCTCCAACGAACTGCATCCGAAAAAAGCTGGGCCCCAAATTCCTGTCACAGAGTTTGGAATCGTCAACCTCTTCACGGAACTGCATCCGGAAAAAGCGCTAGACCCAATTTTTGTCACAGAGTTGGGAACGGTGACGTTCTCCAAGGAACTACAACCCGCAAAGGCCGAGCCCTCAATTTCCGTCACAGAGTTTAGAATCGTCAAGCTCTTCAATGAACTGCTTCCGGAAAAAGCACCCCACGCAATTCTTGTCACAGAGTTGGGAACGGTGACGTTCTCCAAGGAACTATACAACTCGCAAAGGTCGCCTCCTCAATTTCCGTCACAGAGTTTGGAATCGTCAAGCTCTTCAATGAACTGCATCCGGAAAAAGCGCTCGTGCACCCAATTTTCGTCACAGAGTTGGGAATGGTGACGTTCTGCAAGGAACTAAAACCCGCCAAGGCCGAGCCCTCAATTGCCGTCACAGAGTTTGGAATCGTCAAGCTCTTCAATGAACTGCATCCGGAAAAAGCACCCCACGCAATTCTTGTCACAGAGTTGGGAACGGTGACGTTCTCCAAGGAACTACAACCCGCAAAGGCCGAGCCCTCAATTTCCGTCAGAAGAGTTTGGAATCGTCAAGCTCTTCAATGGACTGCATCCGGAAAAAGCGCTAGACCCAATTTTTGTCACAGAGTTGGGAATGGTGACGTTCTCCAAGGAACTACAACCCGCAAAGGCCGAGCCCTCAATTGCCGTTACAGGGTTTGGAATAGATAAAGTCTGAAGCGAACTGCGACGCTGGAAGGCTTTGCTTCCAATCTGGCCCATAGACTTTGGGATGATGGCAAATGCCTGAACTTTGATCATTGAATCAGTATTTCGCGGGATGGGAATCCAACCAGAATGACGTGCGTTCCACATCTTCCAAGCTACAAGCATTGTGCAAATGTACAGTAAACGGCGGCGCTGCCTTCGTTTTTCCATTGACGTGCACCAAAGCACAGTTTCACAACGTTACATCACAATAAACAAGTTTGAGCACAAACGCTTCCAGAAGAAGAACAAATGGCGATTTTCACGGCAAACATGTGAGTGTTAGGATAGAGAATTTACCAGGAAAACGAACAGGGAACTAACATGAACTAACCATGAAGAAACCGGAAGTGAAGCAGCAGAAATGCAAGTTTGACAGTCAGAACAGAATGAAAAGCCACAAGAAACAGGGTAGGGGAGAACAACATTCCGACCTTGGACAGATTTTGTTGAATCCATCTTAGTTTTCAGGCAAAAGATCATGTTTAGTTTCATCTGGAACATGTATGATGATGATGATGATCCATGAAAGATCTCATGCACCATAGAACCCTTACGTTTTTAGAAAAAAACGCAAGACATTCGCTTCTTTGGTCGAGTTTCAGGGCGCTCTGACCTTCTCTGCACGGGAAAAACCATCAAGACATCGCTCGGTGTCTGGTGACTTTCTCTGGTCTTTTTCTTTGGTAGCTATGTCCTACGTAGTGAATGTCACTAGATCCAAAGAGTCATAAAAAGATGGTAGTTCTTCCCGCTAAACGTGGTAAATGGATTTTCATTCCACATTGTCTATATATTCATCAATATATGGGTATAGGAAACTGTTTAAGTTTTCTTTTTTAGTTTATGTTTTTTTTTGGATTCCTGGCTGTGCTCATTTTCCATGCTATTTGCAGCATTGGGGAACCTTCCATATTGTATGACATGTGCAACATTTTGGAGCTGGAACCTTTCATTTTGCATGCTACGCACAGCAGTTTAAAGCTAGAACCGTCCATTTTGGGTGCTATTTGCAGCATTTCATAGTTGGAACTATCCTTTCGCGTGCTATCCGCAGCATTCTGGAGCTGAAACCTTCCGTGTCGCTTGCCAGTTGCAAAATTTGGCAGCTGGAACCCTGCAATTTGCTTGCCAGTTGGATATGTGCATATATTGCAACATATTGGAGCTGCAAGCTTCCATTTGGCATGCTATTTCCAAGTTGTTGTTGTTTGTTTGTTGTCGGTTGTGGATTGTTGTCTGTTAGTTGTGGGTTCTTTTTTGTTGCACTTGAAGCTGCTTAGTGTAGTTGTAGCTGTAGTTGTAATCGCACTTCCTTGTCCTTGTCCTTGTCCTTGTCCTTGTTGATGTTGCTGTTTTTGTTGTTGTTGTTGTTGTTGTGGTTGTTGTTGATGTTGCTGTTACTGATGCATGCGGCTGATATGCGGGGCCTTGGAACGGTTGCTTTTTTTGAGATGTGCCATTCACGATCCCTTGGAAGGGTTGCAATTTGAAAAATGAAGGTTGCGAAAATGAGGATGCAAAAATTGAATTTAGGGGTTGGATGTCTTAAGCTTCCTGCAAGATGCGTTACGTAGTTAAGATGTAGCTGATGTAGCACATGCTCTCTTATGGTCAACCAGGGGGTTGGGGGTGGGGGGGTGTGATAAGGTTTGGACGAATATAACACAAGGCCCACGGCTGCCGTTGTTAACATGTTGCACATGCTCTCTTATGGTCAACAGGGGGGTGGGGGTGGGGGGGTGTGATCATGTTCTTGACGAGTGTAACATAGGGCCCACGGAAAAAATGGACACCAACGTCTATGCTGCACAAGAAAACCCAGCAGCTTACCAAAAAAAATACTCTTGGGCTTGCAGCTGGACATGGCGTCATAATGTCGCCTCGTTTGAGTCTGTGGCCGTGGCTTTGCCGAAAGCACTTTGGCACTGATCAAGAAAATGGGTGGATGATCTGGTGGATGTTTGCATGGGAAACTTGAAAATCATAAATTCCCAATGTTTTTTCAGCACTCGAAGATCAAAATTGATTCGCCGCGCATTCGAAATGCATTTTTTAAATTGCGTCACGCACCTGCCAATCGAAATGAATGTCCATGTTGCAAACACTTTTTGACAAGTCCCACAAATACCAGCATTTTGTCTCTTAGCTTCGAAAATCTCAATTTCAAATTTGTCACCCTTACAAGGGCGGCGAGTCAACCGGTTGCCTTGTTGTTGTTGTTGTTGTCGTTGTCGTTGTCGTTGTTGTTGTTGTTGTTGGTGGTGGTGGTGTAGCTGGAGGAACAAACCAACAACTGTTGATGTTGTGGTCTTTGTTTGGGTGTTGGCTGTGTTTGTGATTTTCTTACACTCGCGGCTGTGGTTGCGGTGAACAGATGAACACAAACAAAGCCATGAAGTCAAGAAACCCACAAAGCTTTGCAACACCAAGAAGAAAGAAAACATGCAAAACCATCAAGGCCATACAAGCAGAGAAAAAACAACAAACGCTTGCCTGGTATTTGCAATATTTTCATCTGCGACATTTGGAATATGGACGACTTCATGTTGCAAGGTATTTGCGGCATGTTTGAACTTCAACCTTCCATTTTGCATGGTGACCTTCCATTTTGGTTAATATTTGAAGCATTGTGAAACTGTAACTTGTTAACCAGCCGGCATTGGGGGAGGGCGCAGCGCCTCGCCCCCAAGGAACACAGAGACAACTTTGTTCTAGTTGTGTTCATCCTTTGCCATTGTAGTTGTGTTTATTTCTTTTGTTGCCCATGTTGTTGTTGTTGTTGTTGTTGTTGCTTCTTTTGTTACTTTTGTCGTTCTTGCTGTTTCTTTTCTATTTGCTGCTCTTGGTGTTTGTGCTGCTGGTGCTGTTCTTCATGTAGTTGTAGCTGCACTTGCAATCACAAAAAAAGGAATTTAAGGAGCGAAAGCAGAACAACTACGAAGCAAAGAACAAACAACAGAGAAACAAACAACAGAGCAGAAAAACAGAGAAGCAAAAAACAGAGAAGCAGAAAAACAAAGAAGAAAAAACAAAGAATTGTAGAAGAAAAAAACAGAGAAACAACAAAAACAGAGAACAACAAAAGCAAATTAAGAATCTTAGAAGGAAAAGCAGAGACGCGAAATAAACAACGGAGAAGCAAACAAAAATCGAAAAAACAGAGAAGCGAACAAAAATCAAAAAAACACAGAAGCAAAAACAACAGAGAAGCGTAGAAGCAAAACATCAGAAACACAGAGAAGAAAAACAAAAAACAAGCAATCAGAAAAGAAAAAAAGCAGAAAGCAAAAGAGCAGAGAAGCAAAAAAAGCAGAGAAGCAAAGAAGCAGAGAAGCAAACAAGCAGACAAACAGCACAGTAGAGAGAAAGAAGGAATAACAAACAAACAATAAACACATAGAAAAAAATGCTCCAAATATCCCCACATAAATTACATGTATATATATATAGATATAGATATATGACATATATATATATATCATTAAATTTCACAAATTCATCTCAATTCTTTCATCGGATAAATTTCTTCATGAAACTTGGTTCCAATAGCTCTCGTTTCCTGCTTTATAGGTGAAGGATGGTGAAGGCATAGGTATCTTTAGCAGGACTGAACTCTCTTTGTCTTACTGGTTCTCTCGTTTTAAACTGTCAAATTTCTTCCTTCTCTGCCCAAGTCCAAACTCACACCTTCGTTGTCTTACCTGGAAGCCTGCTAGCTGCCAGATATTTTTGCGCCATGCTTATCTTATCTTCAATACTTCAGACCATAGGGCTGAGTACGATTCTTTTTTCAGAAGGCATGCCTTGAGACATTGAATATTGTGGACTTACAAAAAATCCAAACATATAGATCTAAGAGGTCGGCCATGCTCAGCTTTTGAATCCTGCTGCTGGTTTTCCCAGGCGAACAGCTCAGCTCTTAGAAACGCCATCAAAAGCACCAGGCGCAAAACAGATTTTGGAAGCACCAATGACATAATGACTCCAGCGGACAACCCTCAAAAGCCCGAAACCCAATTCTTGTCACAGAGTTTGGAATAATCAAGCTCTTCAAAGAACTGCATTCACCAAAAGCCGCATACCCAATTTCCGTCACAGAGTTTGGAATCGTCAAGCTCTTCAACGAACTGCATCCGGAAAAAGCGAAAAACCCAATTTTTGTCACAGAGTTGGGAATGGTGACGTTCTCCAAGGAACTACAACCCGCAAAGGCCGAGCCCTCAATTGCCGTCACAGAGTTTGGAATCGTCAAGCTCTTCAATGAACTGCATCCGGAAAAAGCGCTAGACCCAATTTTTGTCACAGAGTTGGGAATGGAGACGTTCTCCAAGGAACTACATCTGTCAAAAGCAAAGGCCTGAATTTCCGTATTTTCCGTCACAGAGTTTAGAATCGTCAAGCTCTTCAACGAACTGCATTCGGAAAAAACGCTCCACCCAATTTTTGTCACAGAGTTGGGAATGGTGACGTTCTCCAAGGAACTACATGAGTAAAAAGCAAGGTCCTGAATTTCCGTCACAGAGTTTGGAATCGTCAAGCTCTTCAACGAACTGCATCCGGAAAAAGCGAAAGACCCAATTTTTGCCACAGAGTTGGGAATGGTGACTTTCTCCAAGGAACTACAACCCGCAAAGGCCGAGCCCTCAATTGCCGTCACAGAGTTTGGAATCGTCAAGCTCTTCAATGAACTGCATCCGGAAAAAGCGCTAAACCCAATTTTTGTCACAGAGTTGGGAATGGTGACCTTCTTCAAGGATCTACATAAGTAAAAAGCAAAGTCCTGAATTTCCGTCACAGAGTTTGGAATCGTCAAGCTCTTCAACGAACTGCATTCGGAAAAAGCGCTAAGCCCAATTTTTGTCACAGAGTTGGGAATGGTGACTTTCTCCAAGGAACTACATCTGTAAAAAGCAAAGTCCTGAATTTCCGTCACAGAGTTTGGAATCGATAAAGGCCGCAACACACTGCGATGCTGGAAGGCTTTGCTTCCAATCCGGTCAGAGTTTGGGATGGCAAACGCCTGAACTTTGATCATTGATTCACCGTTTTGCAGGATGTGAGTCCAACCAGAATGATGTGCGTTCCACATCTTCCAAGCTACAAGCATTGTGCAAATGTACAGTAGCCGGCGAAGCTGCCTTCGTCTTTCCATTAGCGTGACGTGTACCACTTGGGTACAGCTTCACAATGTTACATCACCCTAAAAAAGTTTAAGCACAAACGCTTCCAGACGAAGAACAGATGGTGATTTTCAGGGCGAACATGCGAGTTTTAGGACATAGAGAATTTACCAGGAAAAAGAGACTGGAACTAACATGAACAAACCATGAAGAAAGCGGAAGTGAATTAGCAGAAATGCAAGTTTGACGGTCAGAACAGCATGAAAAGGCCCAAAAAGCAGGAGAGTGGAAGACAACATTCCGACCTTGGACAGATTTTGTTAAATCCATCTCAATTTTCAGGCGATAAGGATCATGTTTAATTTTGATCTGGAACATGCATGATGATAGATGAAATATCTCATACACCACAGAACCCTTACGTTTCTAAAAGTAACCGCAAGACATCGACCGCTTCTAACGGGTCGAATTTCAGGCATCGCCCGGTGACTGGTGACTTTCTCTGGTCGCTTTTTTGTAGCGATGTTCCACGGCGAAAACGTAAATAGTCTATGTCACTACATCCACATACCCTGGTAAACAGATGTTCATCGCGCTAGACATCTGTTGTATATGATAGATTTCATCCAATAAGGAGATGATAGTTCTTCCCACTAAACATGGTAATTGGACTTTCATCCCACATTGTCTCTATATATATATCTTTGTATATCTAATGTTATACTGATCCGACTAGCCCTATCCCATCCCTATCCCATGGTTGGAAAAATGCCAAGGATCTTGATGTGAACTTGCAGCTGATTCACTTCTGGGAAGGCCTTGCGGAAAAACTGGGTGGGAGACCTCACATGACCAATGACCATCACCTATCAACAAATGGCTGTGTCTGACAATGGGCTAGATCACCAACTACGTAACTTTAGCCATCATGGAAACTGATGGAAACATGACGATAAACACAAAAAAGTGGTAGCATACTTCCAAACAAAGATTCCCAAGGCTTCCGTTTTCAGGGCACTGCTTCAAAACAACACATGCGTGCCGAGGAGATAACCATTCAGAAGGTCCCATGTTGTGGCGAGTTGATGCTGAACATATCCTTTTATTACGCACAGACCCCGTGGTTTGCCTTGTTGGCGAACATGATAAGAGAGGTTGCAGAGAATACTGCATATACGCAGTATTTTTTGGTTTAGGATTCAGAGTTTTCAGGGTTTAGGGATTTTGGGTTCGGGGTTTTGGGTTAGGGCTTTAGGGTGTTGGGTTTTAGGGTTTAGGGTTAGTCGTCTGGGAAATAGTTTTTGAGCAGGTCAAAAGATAATATTTGAACTCCATTCTCGCCTAGCGGGCAAACCATAGGGTCTTGCCGTACTATTAGTTGGACAAAGCCTAAAATATCATATTGTTGGTTGCATTCCCCGATGGCCCTAACATAAAATGATTGTGAACTCAATTCACCTGGATAGATGAAACCAATTCACCCAGCTAAAACGTTCGGACACTTGGGGATGATTCCTGCAATCCAAGTCCTATCTTTCCAAATTGATGGATGGCAAAAATGCCCAAAAAACCATTGGCCAACCATTCACCCGACCTTTTCCCAAACCCAGCCAGCTCCCAAACCGCCCGCCCGCTGCCTCTGTACAATAGCCACAGCCATGGAAGGACTCGGGTCCCTCGCCATTCGCGGCCATCTCCTGATATGGTAAGTCGTTTTCACCATTAGATTGGATAGTACGTGTAATGGTGATTAACCATGAAAAACCATACCCGACAGAGGCTATGAAATTGTGTATACAGTAACCCCAGTGGGATGGTATAAAGCGACCCCCTTCTATGGTTTATCACATTAGATAGCGGGAAGACTACTTTCCTGTTGGAGCCATTCCCAGTATCGCTAGATGGGGGATGGTCATGGTAGAAAGTACATTGCGGCCTACTAAGTGAGCCACAGATTCGCATGTCGTCCCTTCTCATGACTGGTTAAGAACGGTTCCCAGAATGGATTATGATAATCCCCAATTTATTGGGTAGTTTAACCCTTTATGATCATCAACTAACAGGGTTTTTTCATGCAGGGAGCCAGAGAACAGCACAGGGTCGTCTTACACCCTCAAAATTCCCCTGCAGGAGCGGATGATCTGGGATTTGGGGTTCTTCACAAATGGAGGAATTATCAACATATTTTACCAGTATATTATTTTTTTTACTATTTGATATAGCACTCTCCAAAAAATCGTGGGATACGTGATACATCGCTTCTTCATCTTTTTGGGTTTGCTATAGATGAGATTTTATAGCAATCATTTTTTGGGGATATAATGGGATATACTAAGATATGATAATGATATACTGGGATCTGAAAATCTTGATCTATCCATGAAAAAGAAAACTGTTCGCGAGGACATAACGGGATCTAAAATGATCTAAGCTGGATGTATGATAAACTGATAAACTACCAACAATGACTATAGGATACTATAGGTTTGTCCAAAAATGACGGAGAAAAGCATAGAGATATGGCTAGCTCGCAATGCGGAAAGCATACCGGAATTTTGGGTATCCTAATTTCAAACAGTGACCACCCCAATCTCTGAATCTGCGGCATCTTCCTTTGTTGATGACAAATGCAGTTACACTGCATCATTTTTTAATAGAACACGCCATGCAAAGGAAATGTGGAGGTAGGAGTCGTCCACCAGGCACTGCACTGGAAAGTCTCCCATGAGTTTGTTTGAGGGAGATTTACAGTGAACCAATGCTCTAGCTTCCAAAGACGAACATGTGCGGGGTATATTTCCTTACCCTTTATGACCCTTTATGGCTTTATGGTAATCCTCTGTAAATATGGTCATCTTCCATTTCGATTAGCAGAAGGTAAGCCATCATCAACCCATTTCTCGCTGGTGAACCACCCTCAGACCCATGGAGACTTCACCCGTTCACGTTGGGAACGCCTGTCCTGGATCCAACGTGTGGACGCAGCACGTTTTCGCGCGGTCCGGGGGTACACTGAAGTTCTGAAACAGCTGCAGGGATTGTTTCGGAGCACCTTGAGAGCTAGCTTTTTGACTCCACATTTGCATGACCTGTGAGGAAATTCAAACGAATCTATTACAAAGAAATTCAACAAAACAAGTACCATGGACCATAGGTATATCCATAGGTCCTGTTGTTTGATGTTGCAACGCATCAATTTCCAGCACTTTCTTTCTGAAATTGTTGAGTTCTTGGTCAAAAGAAAAAAGTGGCACACAGATACACAGACCCAAAGTTGCAATATGGGTGAAGCACGGCCAGATGATGTTACTTCCTATAATGGATGGTGCTATGATGGTACTATTTTATAAGGCAATTATGGATAGAACATTCAAGGCCAGAAAATCCGTTCCTGCTCTACGTTCGCTTTCAAGCGCGGGATGGTGGCCTATGTCAGAAATATATCACGCTCTTTCCACGTAGCTATCCTGGATTTATCTTGAGATTGAAGACGCGTTTCCTTGCAGCATGATTAACCCACTATGAAAACATACTATACCTAATTTAAAAACTGTTTCATTTGTATCTAAACATCATCAGCCTTCAAAAAAGTGTCGTACATCATGAACCAAGCTGAATGTGATCAGAAAAACTGATGTTTTTTGTAGCAGCAATCATGGGAATGGGAACAATCCCCAAAATAAGGGCCCCAAACTGCAAATAGTCTACTCTTTTGTTCTACATCTATGGGCCATGGTATAATTTTCATGTTTTAGATTTATACTCTTTTCAGATAGATACATACATAGGTAGGTAGGTAAAAAAACATTGTCTAGTAGGGAATTGTCACAAACTTGGGAAAGTTTGACCGGTGTGTTTAACAATGTTTAACGTTAGGGGAATGGGATAATTACTAAATATCAAATTAAAAATTATATACGTTCTTGTAGTTATGTAGAGATATATTGTAAATATATATATACAGCATATAGTTATTATTTACATGTTATTACCAGCAAATTATTACCATCAAGCTACATAATTGTATACATTTATACATACATTCCACATCAAAAAATCCCCATATCCCCAGACTTCGGTGGCCTCTGGTGGTGGAAGTGGCTCACCACTATGCGACGCTGCCACGGAGGGGGCTGGCCTGGCGGCACGGAGCTTTCCTGAGAGATGGGGGTACCCCATTTTTTCGATTTAAAATTGATGGTTTATGGAATATGGGGTTTATTTCATCATTATGATGAAATAAACCATCCATAGATGAATAGATGGATGAAATAGATGGCTTATAATTAGTGGAAAATCCATCTTTTTTATTCATGGAAGCCTCCATATGGTTGTTTCCATCATATCATGGCTTTCAATCCCAAGTCATGGTTTGGAGTTGGGGTGCCCCCTATTTTAGGAACCCCCAAATATATATATATATATTTATTTATGTATAAATAGGGGAACCCTAAATTTTAAAAAATGGGCATATAATCCCACAAGCACAAACCACTTACGAGTCATGGAATGATACCCCACGCAGGGTTCAATAGGTTTCTGCAATCATCAATGTGATCAAATATCAACATATCAGCAGCAGAATATGGGAATTCAACCACGACACAATATGATTTTCATCAGTTTTCTCTTGATTTATTGAATATGGAATATGTGAATGACAGTTGGATGTCGGTTAAAAAATGATAGGTATTGCCCTTGTTGATGAAAAATTGGTGGTTTTCCCCCAGATTGTGACGACCTGCTACGACAAGCCAGCCAATTCAGCAGCCAACGGTGAATATAATTTGGGGTCGAGATTGCACAAGAGAGCAGACAGGATAGCAATTGTCTATCAACCCCCCAACAAAACAGGGGTTTGCAAACTGGGATAGTAAAAGCCAAATAGATAAAAACATATGAGAAGAGTATAATTCAGTACTATTGTAACATAAATTTACCAAATGTTAGTGTGATTTTACTCTACTTTGTTTAAATGAGCAGTGTTCAAAATCCCTCTCTCATTCCATTGTACTGGTTGGTTTATAGGGATTTCCCTATTGGGTTATTAGAATCCCTCTAAAATTGGGTAATATAATCCCCTATAATCATCAACCAACTGGGGTTTTGAACACTGCTCAAATGTTTTTTGGGGCTTAGCCTGCCATGGCAACCTCCGAATTTTCATCGACCATCTCACAGCAGCGAACAAAAACATCCGTCAATGCGGGTTTCATACAAATTCTTGCATACAATCGCATAGAGCACTATGTAGACCCTTGATAAAATGCGATAATTTATGTAGACACAATAGACCCTATGTAGTTTATGCGGGCATGATACAATCCCTATACATCTTCAATAAACAATAGACCCTTCTGTTTCATGCCCAAAATAGGCTACAGAATGTGCTTACCGGGATGCTCACCAACAGATGCCAGATGCCAACAGCTTGTGTGGACTAACTCATTCGCCAACCTTGCAATAAAAGATAATTTTTGAGTCTTTGGTTGGTGGTAAAACAACCCCTCTGAAAAATATGAAAGTCAGTTGGGATCATTCTTCCCAATATATGGAAAGTCATAAAAGTAATGTTCCAAACCACCAACAAGAGATATATATATAATATGGTAAATCATATGGTATATCTATATCATACCCCATAAAACCTATTAATTTCCCATTAAATTCCCATTATTCATTGGTTAAATCCCAAAATTGCACCCCAAAAATCCCCAACCCCAAAAGAATCGCCAGTCGTCCGCCTGGTAATTTCAAAGGCGGCCATCCATTCCTGGCCGTGCAGAGCTCAGCTCGTTGGGGAGATACAGAAATTTGTTTTTTTTAATAGATAGCCTCTTCATCAAAAATCAATACAAATCCATCATAAATCTATATATATATATCAATGTAGATCAATTATATATATATATATAATCCATTTCTATGAGCCATGGTTTCCAGTTCGCAAACCGTGAAGTAACCGGGAAATTAATCTGGACATGGCAATCCATGGTTGTTTCTGGGAAAATTATCTACATTCATGATGGGTTTTTCACAATCAAGAATTGGAGGGTACGCGGATGGATTTGATTGGTTGGGGGTGAAGCAACAAAAACTGGTGATACCAAAATGGCAAACTACCCCGCAAACTGGCATTGCATTGGTTTTCAGCTGCAAAACAAGGCCCAAAAGTGGCCGAAAAACAATTCAACCATCATCTTGGTAGTTTAAAAATACATCCAATGATTGAACAATTGAACTGCTAGTTTGCTTGAACACACACTCAAATTTCCTGGATCAACACCTTGTGGTTCAACACCCATTTTGTTCTACTCGTATCGTTCTCTAGTTTTGATGGTCTGAAAAAAGGGTACCCCCGACATCCCATGGTTTATCATCCAATTCCCATGGCAATGAAGATAAATCGTCCCGTTTCAGAAACACACATATATCATATCACCTCGGTTCAACTACCCAATGAACACCCCATTCAAATCGTATAAAACCACCAATAGAATCCGATTTTGCGTCCCACTAAGTCACCATTAAAAATCCCATGAAATTCCATTTATATCCCATTCAAATCCCGTTAAATCATCGTAAAATCACCAGCAAACCACATTCTGCATCCCATCAAGTCAAAATTCAAAACATGAACTTCCATTTGCATCCCAGCTAAATCCCATCAGATCATCATAAAACCCCACTTTTCTCGTGATATATCCATCCCAAGTGACCCAGGGTGCTGGTATATTTACCTACATTTGGGTTACGTTTGGGGTAAATAACTGGATAGATATCCCACAGATCAAGCATAAATATCCCGATATATCCGGTTATATTGGAAAATATCCCATGGTTGGAAAAGATCCCATGGTGGACAAGTATTCCACAAATAATTATTCCCAATGATACCGTAGATGGCCGAATTATTCCAAACCCTACCCCCCCGCATGGATGCGGGGTTTGAACCATTTGTCCATCTACTGTACCCCATTGATAAATATCCCCTGTTGATAAATATATTTATTCCCATAAATTCAACATTACATCCCCGGTGAAGTCGCGCTGCACCTCGCTACTGATGGAACCGCGTTTCGCCGTGTCCAGCGTCTCGAAAAGTCTGGGCGTTACGCACGTACGGCCGGTGATGTAAACTGTTCCAAGGTGAAAAAACATTGATAAACAAACCAGAAAATTGTGATTTAACAGTGTCTAAACTTGAAAAAATGTGATTTCATTGGTTTTTGTCGGGTTGAATAGGAGAACCATGGGATTTTCATGGGATCACACATCATAAATTGTATTTATTAACAATGGTTACCTATAGTAAATCAATGGCCATTTCAAGAACCGATCTAGTGGGGTACCTGCCATATAAAAGGCCTATTTCTTATAGCGCCAAATTTTGGGGAATAGAAGTGGCCATTGAACTCCGCCGACCCCAGCGTGCAGCAGGGGGAGCGCGTTAGAGAAACAACGGGTTTAGGCTTGCGTTACCCGGCTTTGGGGAAGTTCCTGCGATCTTAAACCTGCAAGTCAAGGTTGCCATGTAGCAGCTTTCAAAGACAACATTAGGCACTCAGAAGGCGGGGCCGTGGGCAGCCCGTCCGTCCTTCAGGTGGGTGAGGCTAGGGGTCTGCGAAGGGAACGTTTTTCAAACTTCAAGGTTGTCATTTAGCAGTTTTCAAGGCGACGTTAGGCACTCAGGAGGTGGGTTGTGGGCAGCACATCCGTCCTTCAGGTCGGGCTAGGCGCCCAAGAAGGGAACGTTTTTGAGCCTTCAAGGTTGCCATTTAGCACCTTTCAAAGGCGACATGGAGGTGGGCCGTGAAGTTTGTCATGTAGCAGCTTTATGCAGCTTTCACAGGCGAGGTTAAGCACTGAGAAGGTGGGCTGTGGACCCTTCAGGTGGGTGAGGCTAGGCGTCTGCGAAGGGAACATTTTTCAGCCTTCAAGGTTGTCAGCTTTCAAACGCGACATTAGGCAATCAGTAGGTAGGCCGTGGGCAGCTTCAAAGGCGACGCTAGCAGCTTGATGATGTTGATGATGATGATGATGATGATCATGATCATGACCATGCTTAAGATCATGATCATGATCATGATAGTAATGATGCTAAAGATGCTAAAGATGCTGAAGATGCCCACGGGAGCTTTCGTAAACTCCTCTGCAAAAAAAAGTTCCACGCTGCACAACCCCTACAGCCTACAACCACTCCGTGCCAAGCTGCACTTCATCACCATTTCAATAAGATCAAGGGCGATCTGTGTGACGTAGCAGCCTGCTTCCAATGATCCTCGGAGAAATTCGAGCTTCGATTCTCCGAGACCTAGGTCGAAACACCACTCCGCAACGCAAGCTGCTGACCGGCTCCCGTGTGATGACCGGCTCCGACTCCAAGGTCATGACTCAGGAATAATGGTTGTTGATATCCATTGTGGTTATTAATGATCACCCATTTTTACCTGGTGATGAACCATAGCTTGTCACTAAAAAATATAGATAGCACCAATTAATCCAATGCTAATTCCATGTATGATCGTTTATAGATATCCATAATGCCATTTAGTATCAATTTACTGATAATATTAGGTAATTAGTGATAATTACAATTTCATGATTATTGGTTCATATTGTTGATATTCAGTATGAATTCTACTTATACTATCAATTCCACTATAATTCCCATTGTTGTTGGTTTATAGCCTATGAGTCATTATTAACCATCACTATTTTACACTTAATCACCAATTTCCTATGATTAAATCACCTAGCTCATGCTATCCCCCTGGGTGTCCCCCAGACGTCGGCCTTAGGCGTTCCTTGGGCAGGTCCAAGCCCATTTGGTCGGCGGCGGCGAAGTCGCCAGGGGTCACCTGAAGGAGATTCATGGGGTTGGACACGATGAAAAAACACAGGGAAAACCAGGGAAAATCCATAGGAAAAGCATGGAAAACCATGGAAAATCCACAGGAAAAGCATGGAACATCAATTAGAAGGAAAACCTTGGAAAGCAACATAGACGAGAACATGGAAAAACATAGAAATGATAGAAATCATAGGAAAACCAGAGGGAAAACCTGGATAATGGGAAAATCAGGGAAAACACTGGACAATCACAATAAGATGGGGTTTAGACAATGATAGTTCAATTAATTTCCGGAAGTTGGACATGTTAATTTGTTTGGTGATAAATGGGGATATAATAGGGACATAACCAAGAATATGTTGTAATATTGTGTTTTGACTATGGTATTTGGATGTATTTGGCTGGTTTTGTTTGACATGTTCTGGTCGAAAATGGGACCGATATGGGGAAAACCATGACAAAACACAATAGAACATGTTTTGGCTTCCAAAGTTGATGTGCCAAAAACTAACCACTATTACAGCTGTAAACCAATGTACTTGCGTTTTGCGGAAAAAAAACAAAGGCGACAATTATGAGGGAAGTGGCGAGAATTAGTGCCGATTATCTGAGCATGTCACTTTGAATTGTGGTAAAACACACTACTTCTGTGTACTCCTAAAGTTCTTTCTGACATATTTTCGTTTGCAATAAACTTCATCGCAATAGTAATCAACGAGTCTTCTCACTTGTTCCATTAAAAAAAAAGGCCAACATGTTCTTACTGTACCAAAAGAAATACCCTCCGGCAATCAAACGTGGCAATAGAACATCCCAATTAGTTTCATTTTTCAAATAAAACCATCATTTATAGTTGATTTTCCCAGCTGATTACCAGTGGATTTCCCTAGGTGATCTTTCGCCACCACCGAACCCCTCGTGCAAGTCCACCAAAACAACGTCCTGACAGAATAATGTTAAATTCGTCTGAAAATAGGATACCCCCAAACAAATATTGTGATTAACTTGTTTTCCTTTTATGAAGATTATTTTTTTGATCAATTGTTTGTTCACATTATTGTTGGCAAAAAAAGGCTGCATTCCCTTGTTCCCCCCATTGTTTGGCCATTTTGTGTTTGTTCCTATCTTGTGGTGGGGAAACTCTCAACAACTCCGAACAGCTCCGAACAGTTCCCACCTAACCACTGGAAAGTTGCTGACTAAATCATCATGTCCGTCGGAAAAATCAAACCCATGTCTTGGTAAATCGGCATTTTGAATATGTTTGATGGTTACTCTCCGAACAATTTAACACAGCCACGGAAAATGGTTCATTTGTAGATATTGACATATCTGGGGTTTCCCAGCCATGGGGGATACGCCCGTAGCTGGATGGTTTATTTCATGGAACATCCCCACCAAAAATGGATGATAGCTAGGGGCACTCCTATTTTTGGGAAATCGCCTTATTGACCATGTTGATTTTAGCAAACTCTTTCAGTAAATTAGCAGGGGTCCCATGGGAACTCCGCATCCGCCTCCCCATCCTCATCCGTGTCCAGCTTGCTGAAAGCGGCCTAGAACGGAAGTGCTTTCGCGCCATGGAAGTTCACTGGTGGTTTCAACTGAACATCATTGTGAAATGCTAGTTTTTAGCTGCAGCAATGGGATGATGGAAATTATCATCATTGGGAAAAAGAAAACACACTCACAACCAGACTGACCATGCTGATTGACTGGGAATATGTTCGGTACCGCAAACAAAAAAACACGTTTTTCCAAAATTACAATGAACTTTTCCAATGGTATCTAAGTTATATATAGTTATAGCGATGTGCAACCAACAAGCGGAGAAGGAAACAAACAAGCTGGGATTAAGCAGCTCTGACATACTTGGGATTGCAAGCAGCCAAGGATGGGGAACAAAAGCGACACAATTGTGATCTTCACCAGTACATGAATGGTTGTCGCATGGCCTAGCGGATAAACACATGAGGCTACATCCATGTTCGTTTGCTTTCAACTGGCTGGTGAGATGTCTGGATTGAATCCTGGCACATTTTCTATCAACAGGATTTCGTACGGATAAGGCGGATGTGAGCTATAAGGTATGCTTTCTCGCGAGGGGTGTTAAGGACGGCTAGGGTGCTGCACCATGACCTCAAAAAAGTTGCATCAAACTTTTAGCACCCTTTTGGAAAGATAGGGGAACCAACATCACGCGCCAAGACCACAACCATTTTTTTCTGAAAAATCCTAAAGCGTGGATCTATGATTTCATTGGCTTTTGGCGGTAAGCTTTCATTTACCTAACTACGTGTCAAGAGCCTGTGCCTTGCGCTGGAAATCTTAACGGTTAGTATTGGCATTTTTTTGTCAACACGCACTGGTGTTTTTTGCAATGGGAGAAGCAAGAATGGCAATTTGAATCCTTCTCAAGCTTGGATGTGCTAGATCCAAATCAAGCACGTCGGGTGCTGAAACGTGGGTCACGCATCTTGGCTAACTTTGTTTTTTAATGGAAATCTTGCTAGATTGTCAAGTACATCCAGCCAGCTGTTCTGAAAAGTTCGAAACTTTCAACACTTGTCGAAACCACACAGGCAGCCCCAGTTTGATGGTGCTGCGGTATGCTGTGAAATGTTCAATGTTGTGTGAATTCTACAACTGTTCAAAGGGGGTAGTGTTTGCTTTCAATCCTTGCATGTTTTCAAGACAACGAATTTTTGCAACAAAACCAACTAAGGGGCCTGAGCACTGTCAATCCTCCTTTCCGTTTCTTGCGCCTGCACCACCACCTTGACCAAATCCAAGCCAGCTACAAATATGTTGTTTTCTGGATTGTACATTTCTTGGTGCGCCGAAAGTTTCTCGTCCCCCACGTGCGTCCATACCTTTTTTGTGCAAAATCCTAGACCTAGATGGTTTTAGGATGTTTAGGCTTCTTGCTTTATACAACCCGGAAAACAATTAATTGAAGTTGCCAAGAATTTCCACTTCGGAAAGAAATTGCGTGAGAGACTCTGTGTTTCCCTGAAAGCCCTTGAAACAGAAACAAAAGCTTGCATTTCTGGTGTTAACCTGGCCAGCAAAAGGCAACACAATGAAAAAAATCGAAAGGCGCGTGGCACTGACCCGAAGAAAACTGCACAAACCACAGTTGTGGCACAGGTGTGGCAAAGGGGCTGCTTTTATTCGGGGAAACTTCCACATTACTCATTACGATAATTGCGCTAAAATCCTGCCTGCTGGCAAACGAAGCGGTAAATGGATGTTTGTGGCAAACGTTGGTGGTGGCAAAGGTTGGTGGTGGCAAAGGTGTATTTAGTGGCAAACGTGTGGCAGACCTTTTGCCTTTTGTTTTAGTAGCACCTTTGCCACACCTTTGCCACTAAAACGTTTGCCACACCTTTGCCACTACCTTTGCCACTAAAACGTTTGCCACTACCTTTGCCACTAAACCCTTTGCAACTACATTTGAATGAAAAAAATGCAAAGCCACAAACGTTTGCCACTAAAGGCAACCTTTGCCACTAAAGGCTACCTTGCCACTAAAGTCACTAAAGACCCATTTGCCACTAGAGCCTACCTTTGCCTGAAGGCTGCCTTTACAACAAAACGTACACTGCGGCGCCGCTAGAAAGCTCGCATTTAGTTCGACGCAGTTTGTATTCGGTAGCCCCTTGCTCCACCGTATTGGTTATGCTGTTGGTTTTTACTGGTTTCTACAGCTTCAGATTTGGAACCGAAACCCTCACAAACTGAAAATTCCAGTTCCTTCCAAAACAACACTACTACCAACACTGCCGGGCTCCTTTCAGGATGCATTGTAGCCACAACAAACTGCCAAGCATAAGGTGCAATGCTGCATACAGCTCTGAGCCGTCGAAACAACTTATCTTTGCTTTATGTCGGTGTGTAGTTCGCAAAAACCTCGCCAACATCATATGCGTGCTTCACCATCAAGATCATGTTTTACAACCATGTTAGGGATGTCCCAAAACAAATTGCCTTGTGGGCCTAGCAGAACTGTTTAATTGCCAAGATAATGGGGAGAATCTTGTTACATCGGAAATTGCAACCCCGTTGCTTTATCTAGAGCCCCTTCTGCCCCTTGAACCAAAGCCAAATCAATAGCATTGAAGGAGAACCCAACAGGAATCATTTCAACATACTGCAGGCTTGAAAAAGGAATGACAAAATAATTGCCGACGGCCGCGAAAGCTTGCGAAAACAAACCTGGAACACATACCGTGAAAACATGCAATTTAACAAAGCTAAAACAGATCGCTCATCAAGGCGCAAATACTTTAAATAGATTTAAATAGTTTCTACAGAGTAGCTGGGGGGGGGCCACATCGGTCGAGTTAGAGCGTTGATTGCTCAGATTGCCCTGCAAGTTGCTATAAAATGATGTATCGCTCAAATGTGCTTCTTAAACGGATAATACTCTTAAGGAAACCGCTGTAGGAGCGATGGCCTTGGCCAAGCCTGGGCATGTCCGGCCATGAAATAAAATCTAAATAGTTTCTGGCACGTATGGAATTGATTTGTACAACAACACAGCCCAAACAGTTGTGATTTAAAAAACGCCCGTTCGTGTTGACACCATATTTCCGTGCATTTGCAGGCCATTTCTTAACATGGCTCGTGAGAAAGCATACTATAAGGCTTCCGCAAAAACAAAACCGCTGGGCGAATGCAAGCCGGATTCCTGTCCAGCTTTGGACCATGGGCCACTTTTGGTGCACTCAATGTGGCTATGTCAGGGCACCAGGCTGTGACTTGCTGAAGCCATCCCTTTTCTTTCGCATCTGCATGGATTGCTATATATAGGCCTTTTCCGGTTTCAATGAGACCTTTGGGAAGTGGCCGATCTCCATCCACTAGTATGGCATCATGGTTGATTGCATACGTGGCTTGCGGGTCAAAATGTTGATCTGCATGTCAAATGACGACTCCTTCATCTTTTCCTCAATGGTGACAGATGGCGTCCGGTCACAGGACAGCGACAAATGAAGTTTGCGAGTTTGCTTCTTGAATTAGGTGCGGAGAGCGGTCATGTTTTTGCCACACAAATCCTTTGATTTTTTGCGCTGGTCGTTGTTGGGTCCTCGTGTTGAAGTTTTGAGCGAACAACCGAAGAATTCGCATTGTTTATGCATTATGACCCAAGCTTGGCCAGCAGACCCTCACTGTCCATGGCCTTTGCATACAAAAGAAAATGATCCCGACGCTCAAGCTTGGAGCAATGGGATTATATTTCATGATATTCCCAAACAAATGGTTCATGTTATACCACAAGTCCATTATTTCAATCCAGCTCTTGCTGGTTTAACCCCCTTAAATTGAAGTTATCGAGAAGTTAGATTCCATGATATAACCACGAATACCCATTTTGGCTGGTTGAAATCACCCATAAACCATCAACCGGTTAAATCTATTTCCGTATGTCCGAGTATATCTCCATTATACTCCTATTATTCCGAGTGAATCTGGTCATTGAATATCGCCATTATTGCTCATGTTATACCTCATTTAATATACCGCCATTTTTAAACCAATAATCAATCATAATCAGGAATATAGTTGATAGTATTCAACAATAACCAAAGAGATATTTCCCATTAATCCCATCCCCCTAATACTAAACGCCCCCATGGTATGGCCCGTGTCCTATTGAATCATGGCTGGAAAAGTGGATGTTTAATGTCAACCGGGGGTGGAATTTTACTATCCGATATACTGTGATGATTTAAGAACTAATTGGGCTGAACTGAGTTACAACGAATAATCACTCATATTCCCATTATACACTTCTTACCCTCTGGAAAGTTGATTACCCCCTAAAAGTGGTGATTTTCAACAGCTACTTATGTTAATTTACCAGAGGGCAATCTTCAATACATGATCAAAGGAATCTATTGATAATAATACCACTTATCAATAGTTAATGGGGAACATCATCATGATCAATACGCTCGCTCACTAATTATCATTACATACGTATTAATCATACACATAGTGACTTAGTAACTTAGCATATAACAAACATTAACTAATGAAGATATTCCCATATTATCAAAGGAAGTTTAGGGGGAGAAACTTCCGTGTTACGGACTTTTAGAATGTCAGGGAAAGAGTTAGTCAAAGAAAGAGTTAGTGAGGGAAAGAGTTAGTCAAAGAAAGAGTTAGTCAAAGAAACAGTTAGTCAGGGAAAGAGTTAGTCAAAGAAAGAGTTAGTGAGGGAAAGAGTTAGCAAAGAAACAGTTAGTCAAAGAAAGAGTTATCAAAGAAACAGTTAGTCAGGGAAAGAGTTAGTCAAAGAAAGAGTTAGTCAGGGAAAGAGTTAGTCAAAGAAAGAGTTAGTGAGGGAAAGAGTTAGTCAAAGAAGGAGTTAGCAAAGAAACAGTTAGTCAGGGAAAGAGTTAGTCAAAGAAAGAGTTAGTCAAAGAAACAGTTAGTCAGGGAAAGAGTTAGTCAAAGAAAGAGTTAGTCAAGGAAAGAGTTAGTCAAAGAAAGAGTTAGTCAAAGAAAGAGTTAGTCAAAGAAACAGTTAGTCAGGGAAAGAGTTAGTCAAAGAAAGAGTTAGTCAAAGAAACAGTTAGTCAGGGAAAGAGTTAGTCAAAGAAAGAGTTAGTCAAAGAAACAGTTAGTCAGGGAAAGAGTTAGTCAAAGAAAGAGTTAGTCAGCGAAAGAGTTAGTCAAAGAAAGAGATAGTGAGGGAAAGAGTTAGTCAAAGAAAGAGTTAGCAAAGAAACAGTTAGTCAGGGAAAGAGTTAGTCAAAGAAAGAGTTAGTCAGGGAAAGAGTTAGTCAAAGAAAGAGGTAGTGAGGGAAAGAGTTAGTCAAAGAAAGAGTTAGCAAAGAAAGAGTTCGTCAGGGAAAGAGTTAGTCAAAGAAACAGTTAGTGAGGGAAAGAGTCAGTCAAAGAAAGAGTTAGTGAGGGAAAGAGTTAGTCAAAGAAAGAGTTAGTCAGGATATATGAGGTAGTCAAAGAAAGAGTTAGCAAAGAAACAAGTTAGTCAAAGAAAGAGTTAGTGAGGAAAAGAGTTAGTCACAGAAAGAGTTAGTCAAAGAAATTGTTCCCGCAGTGTAAATGGGATTGCAAGTGGTGCTGGTGGATGAGTTGCCGATGGAGTTTTGAAGGAAGTCTCGCACGAAATGCGTTTTTGAGAGATAGCAGATGCACGAAAGCCTATGTTTTTCCATACAAAGTTCGTCCCCGAACCTGGATGATCTACCTCTGCGGTGCGACGGGTGCGAGACGGTCTCGTGTGTGGTCGGATCATGGTCGGATATGGTCGGATCGGTTCCGCATTGTAAATGGGGTTTCAACTGCTTTTCGTGCATGTGTGGTCGACAGAATTCCATTGTGATTTGCAACTGTAGGATCGTTCCCGCATTGTAAATGGGGGTGCAAGTGGTGCTGGTGGATGAGTTGCCGATGGAATTCCATTGTGATTTGCAACTCTAGGATCGTTCCCTCACTGTAAATGGGATTGCAAGTGGTGCTGGTGGAGGAGTTGCCGATGGAGTTTTGAAGGAAGTCTCGCACGAAATGCGTTTTTGAGAGATAGCAGATGCACGAAAGCCTATGTTTTTCCATACAAAGTGCGTCCCCGAACGTCGATGATCTACCTCTGCGGTGCGACGGTTGCGAGACGGTCTCGTCTGTGGTCGGATCGGTCTCGGATCATGGTCGGATCATTCTCGGATCGGTTCCGCATTGTAAATGGGGTGTCACCTGTGTTTCGTGCATTTGTGGTCGACAGAATTCCATTGTGATTTGCAACTGTAGGATCGTTCCCGCAATGTAAATGGGTTTGCAAGTGGTGCTGGTGGATGAGTTGCCGATGGAATTCCATTGTGATTTGCAACTCTAGGATCGTTCCCGCAGTGTAAATGGGATTGCAAGTGGTGCTGGTGGATGAGTTGCCGATGGAATTCCATTGTGCTTTGCAATTGTAGGATCGTTCCCGCAGTGTAAATGGCTGCGTCAAGGTTGCTTCGTGCTGTGGCTGCATTGGTAATACTATTGTCTTTTGCAGCTGGATCTCGTAAATCGTACTGGAGTGGCTGCATGAAGGCTGCCACAGTGATTTGTCAGCAGATTTTCTTTATTGGCGCTAGTGATTTTCCTTCTATTTTTTTTTTTAAGTGCTTCAAAATCGTCTTTTTTTCGCTCTGGCGTCGAGATCCGGTTTTGGAGCTACAATTTCCGACGCCGTTGCGCGTAGTTCTATTGTGCTTTGCAACTCAATCTCTGCAGATCGCATTGTAATGGCTGCGTCAAGGTTGCTTCCTGCTTTGGCTGCATTGGTAATACTATTGTCTTTTGCAGCTGGATCTCGTAAATCGTATTGGAGTGGCTGCATGAAGGCTGCGACATGGATTTGTTAGCAGATTTTCTTCATTTTGGCGCTAGTGATTTTCCTTCTAAAAACTCTTTTAAAAAGTGTTTCAAAATCGTTTTTTTTTGTGCTCTGGCGTCGAGATCCGGTTGTGGAGCTACAATTTCCGACGCCGTTGCGCGTACTTCTATTGCGTTTTGCAACTCAGTCTCTGCAGATCGCATTGTAATGGCTGCGTCAAGGTTGCTTCCTGCTTTGGCTGCATTGGTAATACTATTGTCTTTTGCAGCTGGACTTCGTAAATCGTATTGGAGTGGCTGCATGCGCCACAGTGATTTGTCAGCAGATTTTCTCCATTTTGGCGTCAGCGATTTTCCTTCTAAAAATCCTTTGAAAAAGTGCTTCAAAATCGTCTTGCACAACAACAGTACGTGGTTGGACGACAAAGAGTCGGACGACGAAGTTCTCTGCAGACAATACCTTCATCTCTGGGAAGCTGTGCGGTCCTTTGAACCAGAGTTTGTTGATGCTGAGATGAAGCGCAGACAAGGTCCTGCCGCAGAGGAAGCAACTTTCGTTTGACTGCCGAGGGCTGGGTGTGCGTTGTTATGAACCGCATCCGAGTTTGAATTGCTGTCCTTCAGTAGCTTCGCCTTTCATTTAGCCTTGCGAACCGCAGAATGCCTCTGTCACTTGCTTTTGGTTTATGTGTGCGTTGTTACGAACCGCACAAACAACCATGATCGTATTGCATACATGTGAAAAAACAAAGCTGTCGTGGGAGCGAGTCAATGCAAGGTCTCACTGAGATCCTCTCAATGCCTTGTGCAGCATGGGTTGGAGTTTTGTGGTTTGTTGAATGTATGACTTTCTGGACCATTTTTTTTTCAGACATCAGACCCAAAGCTCTATGATTTTCTCCATTTTGGCGCTAGTTTTTTTGTTGCACGTAAGTTTAGAGCAGTTGGACGTGTGGGGCGTGAAGTGTGGAGTGTGAAGTTTAAGTGTGGAGTGCGAAGAGCGCAGTGTGAAGTGTGAAGTGTGAAGTGTGAGGTTTGGAGTGTGAAGGAAGCAGTGAGAAGTGTGAAGTGTGGACTGTGAAGTGTGAAGTGTGTGACTGAAGTGTGGAGTGTGAAGTGCGACGTGAGAAGTGTGAAGTTTGGAGTGTGAAGTTTGGAGTGGGAAGGAAGCAGTGAGAAGTGAGAAGTGTGAAGTGTGGACTGTGAAGTGTGGAGTGTGAAGTGCGAAGTGAGAAGTGTGAAGTTTGGAGTGTGAAGGAAGCAGTGAGAAGTGAGAAGTGTGAATTGAGAAGTGTGAAATGTGGAGTGTGAAGTGCGAAGTGTGAAGTGCGAAGTGAGAAGTGTGGACTGTGAAGTGTGAAGTGTGAAGTGTGGACTGTGAAGTGTGAAGTGTGAAGTGTGGACTGTGAAGTGTGAAGTGTGCAGTGTGAAGTGTGAAGTGTGAAAGTGTGAGGTTTGGAGTGTGAAGGAAGCAGTGAGAAGTGAGAAGTGTGAAGTGTGGAGTGTGAAGTTTGAAGTTTGGAGTGCGAAGAGTGCAGTGTGCTGTGTGAGGTGTGGAGTGTCGAGGGAAGGACACGGTCGGGACAGGGTGTCTTTGAACTATAGGTCATTTATGTTTGGGAAACTTCCGCCGCCGGCTTGCCCGGGTCTATGTTATTGATAATCTTAGTAGGTTAGTTAATCTCCATCAGGAAGTATTACTTATTACCGTTTTTCTTGATCAGTAACTTATACTAATATATCCTCTTTAGTGTACTCATCTTTTATTGATCAGTAACTATTAGCCAATCCCCATTATACACTTCCCCTCCGGGAATCGGGCATAGCTATTGAACATAGCCAATGAGATGTTGAAAATGGCCATACCTCCATGTGATATGGATAATCTCCCATTAAATGTGATTTACCTCTCAAAAGTGGTGATTTTCTATAGCAACTTGTGAGTTTACCAAGGCTTAAACCCATTTTCCCGGCCTCCGGCGAGATGCCGGCGTGCGTCAAGTGCCGGTGGACCTTGCCTGGGCGGGCCCCCCGGAGGTGACGTCAACCCAAAATTGGTAGATGAGCCGGGAAAAGACGGAGGAAATCTTGGGAACCTGAAGGAAATCTATGGGAATTCCAGGACAATGCCCCAGCATAACCATGGAAATCTATGGGAATCTAAAGGACACATCAGTGGAATAGAAAATGGAAATCTGGGAGACCTAGGACATCCATAGGAAAGAACAATGAAATAAGCAGGGAAATATTTTTGAAACTTGCGAAGAACTTGATACCATCTTGAAACAAATCAGATCCAAGCCTTTCTTCTGCTGTGACTGCTCCTGGGGTTGTACCTCTTTTGATATCGCAATAAGATACATGAAACTATCCCAAAGACATGCCCACGTTTTCTGGGATGATCCTCCCAGTGAATGAGATCTACCATTTTAATCCCATTGGTGGTATAATACCATTATAATTCCTTAGAATCCCATTATAAAACGCTAAAACCCCCACTAAACCAAGTAAATCCACCAATGAAGATCCCTTTTATATTCCCTGAAATAACATCAATTTCCTTTCGTTATAATGATGATGATGGAATTAATCTACCATGGTATAGATCCAATGTAGTCCCAATGTTAAAATCCCACTGTTCATAACAATAAACCATTATAATTTTGTACTTTCCTTTATATCCCAAGTATAAACCAAATTAATCCACCAAAATCCTATGTAATGTGGGTAAAACAATGCCATTAGACATCCCCAAATGATCATTTTTATTGGGGGTATAAAAGGGGTGGTGCATGACATTGATTTACCAAGATTAATGCCTAATTATTCATATCTAGGGGTTGTTATCACAAGGCAATAGATGTACTATAGGTGTTTATCCATTAATATCATTCATATCCATTAACAACCAAAATCCGATGCAAAATCTTCGAAAAACAAGTAGATATCTATACCAACCCCGACATTCCGCCGCGGCGCTCAGCATCCGTTCGCGTGCGCGCCGCGCTTCGATGCTCTGCTGGGCGAAGAGCTGCGCCACCGGTGCTTCGCGCCAGGCGCCGTCCTGCCTTGGTGCGGCGGGGCATGGGAAAATCTTGGGAAAACCAAAGGAAAAATATGTTGGATTTGTTTAAAGATTTTGATGAATGTTGACCAAGGAGGACGTGCGTACTGTGCTGTTCCACAGCCTTCATTTCACCGTTGACCCGTGGATCAAATATGCCGATTTGATGGCAAAAAAACTATGAACACATACCCTTCCCTTCCCTTCTAAGGATGTTCTACTACTATCCAATCGCTGCTTAAATCTATTCGTATCTCCATCTTTTGTTGGTTAAACCTCGGACTAAATTTCTTTCTTGCTAGTCAGTCGAACTCCCATTGTTGTTTGCTTCAGCCCACATGTTCACCGGCGTAAGTCCTTTCTTTAATGGAACAAAACTAAACCCAAATTTTACTGATGGCTAAGCTCTCAATTGCTACTTAAAACCATCTAATGATTTGGAGGTCCACCCTGTACAATAAGAATCCCAGTGAGCGCAAATGTTTGCGCTTGTGAATCCTTCCGCAATGCCGAAACATTATAGTGTTGGTTAAGCAACTTGAGTACCTGAGTTAACTGTGGAAGTTGCTCGATAGGGCTGGTAATTTTTAGGGTGAAAAACAGTCCACTGCTGATTTCTTCACTGCATAGTTGATCATTATTCGAGCATCCAGGTGAATGAGAAAATTTGACACCCTCTCTGTCAAGTGCCAGGCGTGGACTTCTGTGATTGATCATCGTGGCTAAATCAACTGAACCATCTTCAGTATGTACTGCGAGAATTGAGTCGAAGAGTGCAACAGAGATCTTCCCTTCGACATGGCAGTTCTGGCATCGGATCTGAAACTGTGAGAAAAAGAATTCACAGTGTTCGGGATAAAGATCGTCGCAAACCTCGATGATGGCTGCGTCTAGGTCCGCAACTTGCCCGGGTGGAAAAGCAGTCTCTGCAAAGGAGCCTTTGGCCACCAGAAGACATGCCAGAAAGCTGGCAAAGCACACTTGGCCTCTAGGCTTCACCCCGGGGCATGACAAAATTTATGATCTTTCTGATCTCCCGCACAACTGGAGGTGTGCTCAAGCCAGTGGTCAATGTCCTCAATCTTAGAGGCAAAGACTGACTTCAACTCTGGGTGCAGAGTGTTCTGCACCAGCACGCTCTCATGTAGCGGTTAACTTGCGGCTTTTTACAAGCTTGAACTCAACGCTACAGGCTCCAGGGTCAATTTGCGGTTTTTTACATGAACAGTAGAAAGTTACTGGTTAATCCACTCTTGGAAACATCAATTTTCCAAACGCAACTTCATACAAGGATGCATTGCAAACTGCATAGGAGCAAGGAACATACACCGGACTCTAGTTGACCAACCGTAAAATACCAGTAGTACCGCACAAGGCGGTGGCGGAAGTTTCAAACATAGGAAACCTATAGGAGAGGTTGGTTGTTGTGAATCACGGATGGCGGAGCGAGCCGAAAGGTGGTTGGAGTTCTGTGCTTTTTGGAATAGCTGTAATGGTTGCAGTGGCCACCTCACCACAGCTGCTGGATGTAGTGTGGTGTACGGTGTAGGGTAGTGTAGTGTAATGGTAGTGTAGTTGCGGTGTAGTGTAACGTAGTGGTAGTTGTAATTCTAATTGAAGTTGTGGCTCTAGTGTTTTTTGAATTTGCAGGTGCAGTTGCAGTGGCAGGTGCAGTTGCAGTTGTAGTGGTAGTGGCAGTTGCAATTGTAGTTGCAGTTTTAGTGCAGTGTAGTGTAGTTGTAGTTGTGGTGTAGTGGTAGTGGTAGTTGTAGTTGCAGTTGAAATTGTAGCTGCAGTTTTTGTAGTTGAAGTAGCAGCTGCAGTTGCAGTTGCAGTTGTAGTTGTAGTTAGTATTTGTAGTTGTAGTTGTAGTGTAGTGTAGCGTAGTTGTAGTTGTAGTTGTAGTTATAGTTGTAGTTGTAGTTGTAGTTGTAGTGGTAGTGGTAGTTGTAGTGTAGTTGAAGTAGAAGTTGAAGTTGAAGTTGTAGTTGTAGCGGTAATGGTAGTGGTAATGGTAGTGGTAGTTGTAGTTGTAGTGTAGCCTAGTGTAGTTGCAGTTGCCTATATATCTGTCTATCTGTTTATACCTCTATCTATCTATGTCTGTCTATCTATCCGTCTCTCTGTCTATCTATCTATTTGTCTATCTGCAAGCTTGAAAACGAAGCTAACCTGCGATACTTCCTCAATTTTTCCAGTTGACAACATCAAAAACGCAGATATTCTGCGAGGCTTCCTCGAATTTGGGACTTGAGAACGTGCAAAAGGAAGCAATTCTGCGAGACTTCCTCAATTTTCGAACTTGAGAAAATCAAAAGCGAAGCAGTTCTGCGAGACCTCCTTCAATAATGGAAACTTGAGTGCGGAGTTGAC